CCATCACTAATCTCCAGGCAAATCTTGTTTTCTTCATTCTACCAGTCACCCTCAGTTCCTCTTTGTTACAGCTAATAGCTTTAAAGATTGCTATGCAACTCACTTGTCTGGTGCAAGGGAGAGCTGTGTGGATTTACAGACATAAGACAGAAGGCACCATTAGGAAGTTTGCAGATGAGGTTAGATAGGCTAACAGGCAGGGCTGCTTTTCAGAGGGACCTCACAGGCTGGAGAAATGGGCTAAAAGAAATGGGTAAATGTGAGTCCTGCACCTGGAGCGCCATAGCCCTGTGAGACACTGTGAACTAGAGAGCGGCTGTGCAGGAAGCACCCTGGGAAGAGGTGGAAATAACATCTTTGATCTGAAGAGAAGAGTGGGATGGCCAGCATCTTACTGCTGTCTCAGCTACCTTCCAGGGGATAGAAAGGTTGAACCCAGATTCTTTGTACTTTCTGTACAGGGACAAGATAACAGGCAATGAACAGCAGTTGCAGCAAGGGAAATTCTGACTAGATATTCTCACCACAAAAACCCCATGCTATGAGGTTTCTCAAACATTGGGACGGTTGCATCCCTTCATTAGAGAGATTCGGAACTAATCAAGGCCATGACAGAGTAGGCCCAGCTTTGAAGCAGAAGGCTTGAGGTGGACTAGAGCTGCCTTCCAAACTAAATTATTCAGTGATTCAAAGAGTCTTTGACTCTTTAAGTTTCAGATCATTTTATCTGAAAAAGTGTAGTGGAAGCTCATAGATTGTGAATTCTTTATGTGTAGTCAGTGATCTCTGCATCTGAGGTTGCCTCTTGTCCATGAAAACCTGAAAAGTTCCAGCTTGCGCTGATGTAACTAAATAAAGCTGCCTTCTTATAGGGTTCACACCACTTTTAGCACTTTGGATTAATTATATGGCTATTATCCTAATGGAAGCAGTCAGAGAAGGTAATTGAAGACATCTTGAAATAAATTAGATAAATGGTAGCAGAAGCAGCTTTGTGCTTTAAAGCTCAGAGGAAAACCATTTTTAAAATCCAACTGTAAAACTCCCCAAAATAAAATGACATTTAATGTACATTTTTATTGACCAAACTATATTTTAGGAGAGGTTAGAAGAAAAAATTGTGAATCCCGTTGCAGCAAACCCCCTATTTTTTATTTCTTAGAATGAGTCTGCTGTTTTACTTGATTTTTGTTGAATTTAAGGAATCCATGCTAAATTCTTTTCAACTGAACACTTAATGCCTGAAATATTTTTAGGAGAAATCATCAACTCATATCGCTAAAAATCCATGCTGCAGAATTTCAGTTTTGTGTCACAGAGTTTGCACATTTTTCTAGTACTAAAGTTCTTTTCAAAATGGAAATATTTTTAATTTAATTAATTCATAAAATAAAGTTTCTGGTTCCCATGGTTAGTAAAAAACAAAAAAAAATTTTTGTTTTTTTTTCAAGAAACACAGGTCTGCAGTTCCTCATTTAATAAAAGTTGGAAATAGGCAGAAAGCAGTGTATCAGGTGTGCTTTAAAATCGTTAAATCATTAATGGATTGCAGAAGATGTAGGAGTTGCTGTCAATTCCAGTAGAATGCTTTTCTTAACCACCCTTGCTGTAGTTTAATTTTCAGTTTCTTCAGATACTATATTCTCTTAAATCTTCTTAAATCAAATATTAATTATATTCCTAACTCTTTCCCTGTTTATTTTAGCCACAACCAAAGAGAGTATTTCACAGCAGGTAATTCAGCTAGATTGTGTGTAACTGAATATCAAGGTCAGTTCATGCCTTGCTTCTTTGTGATGTTCTCTCCTCTCTCTTTTTTTTTTTTTTTTGTGGACATCAGAAATTATCAGAAATGGCCTGAGACTTAGTACAGTGATGGCTTGAAGTACAGTGTCACAGATTTGCTACATTTTATTTTGCATTTACTAGCTTTAATAATTAAAGGGAATATTATTGTGATGAGGTTTAAAGGCTTTAAAATCCTCATTTGTCTCATATCTAGAGACATAACTAACTTCTATGATATATATTATTGCTGATAGAATTTATAGATCTTTGTTATAATACTTTTGGCCCTTGAGACTAAGTAATCAAGTCTGAAATGCATGTGCTTAATTTTGATGAGCCGGAGTGATGCAAAATACATAATTAGCCACTTCATTGAAGTGTGCATATTATGGTTCAGTGACTAATTTTCTGGTCAGTGAATCACAACCTTATGTCTCTTTTTTGTCATTAAACACTTTAGATTATGATAGTTCTTGTATTTAAAGCCATTCTAGTCATGAGGATCTAATTCATGCTTAGCATTTTAATAACCACCTCCGCTTTACGGTTTCCTAAGGGAGAAATATTCATCTCTCTTTAAATTATAAATTTATAATTTATGTCTTACTTTAGTTACAAGTTAAACATAATTATATGTAGCATGGTATTCTTAAGGTCATGGAATGTAATGTGTCAAAAGGTTTGGTTTAGTTTGTAAAAAACATAATTGTTAGTAACATAGTATTCCATTTTACAAATATACAATTCTTTATCTAGAACTGACAACAATAATAGATTGAATGCTTTCAGACACTTTGGAAATATCTCACTTTAAAGCAGTAAATTATAGAAAAAAATCCCATTCCTTGCGTATTTCTCTTTTGGAAAACATTTGCTTTAAACGTTGTCAGTGCTTGAGGCTTTTATTCATGTATCATCTAACAACTTCAGGTATCATTGAGGAAGTTCATTTTGACATACAATTCAAACCTTGAAAATCACATCGCTGTAAACTGTGAGTGGCTTTGCCATGAGAGGAAAAATTCAATTAATAAGGTTTTACATTTTTACAGACTACCTAAACCTTTTTGTCTGTATGAAAATATTATTACACTATAGTCTAATGTGTCAAAACCACTCCTAAATAATCAGGAGTTCCCAGAATTCAGATGCATTACAGAATATCTGTTCTAAATTTTCAGTGTAGAAAAATGTATGAAGTATTTTGAGTCTCTTATTTTCCAAGGGAGGTGAATTATCATGCAGAGGGCAGGAGGGAATATGATATTTGCATCACTTTGTGTGGTTCCATAATTTACCACATTGGTGATCTCCCTCATGTGTTTACAAATGTGATACTCTTTCTACTGTGTATAAATAATATTTATGCATAATGTTGCTTAAAATGTTTGTTTAAAATAGAAGGAGGTTTTTTCCATGTTTTCTTTTAATTTGTTTTTACATTAGAGGAGGCAAATGTGTACCAAATATGGGTTGAATCTTTTTTTACTTTGTGTAGTAATATCAAAAGTTCATTGTTCCTCCCAGATGAGACTGAAAACACGGCTGGTTTAGTCTTTGTAATACTTGGCTCTAAAATTAAAATTCAGAGGAAACAGGATCTGACTATGAGTCAGTATGCAGAACAGATGAAGTAGAGGGGCCATGACGAAACATTCTTTCAGCCCAAGGTCTTTAGCATTACTGAGAACCAATGTCATATTTCATAATAGTAGGATATGAGTGCCAGACTGTGATCTGTTTGGATCAGGATTAAAATGCTGATGGTATTTCCTTTATTTTGTTCTAGTTCCTGATGTATTTTCTATAAATGTTTTTAAAAAGACACTTTCTTGCAAATTATTTTCAGAGCACCTTGTATCATTACTTCAATGGACTCACTCATTCTCCATTCTCACCTTTCTTATCCTTTTGGAAGTAATTACTCACTTGGATATTTTGATGATGTTGAAATAATCTCCAAATTGTACTCATTTCTGTAGTGCCTGACTTCATAGAGTCTGACAAATTGTTTGGCATTGGAAATGGACTGAGGGTCATCCACTCATGAGAAGTTGGCTTACACATGGATGCCAAATCCCAAATGACTTTAACAGTGATAGGCAATACTAATGAAAACCATTTTCTTACATGGGATATAATGTGCATTTCTAAATTAAATTAATAATTTGAGCCAAATCTTGTGGACACAAATAATTTACCATATGCAGTATTTCAGTGTCACCTGATTGTGCTTTTCAGCTCTGCATAATACTTCTTTCACCTGTAATTGTCTAATTGTCTTTCTAGCCTGCCAGGAAAATACTCCTTCAGCTTGACATCTTTAAATTGTGCTTTTGTTCAGTAGTTTACAGTGTGTTGGTACTGTATAATGGGTGTTTATCATTAATACTAGAGATAGCAAAATATCTAATTATGGTTATGCCACCATACTGAAGAACTGTGTTACATCCAAGCCAATTATGAATTTCAGTTGCTGAAAGCAAGATTGGGAAGCAGTCTTGTAAGTTTCAACCAAGAGGCACTCCCCTTGTCTTTTGTTAAGCCAAAGAAATGTGCTCCCAGTGTTCAGCAGTAGCTAAACAGTGGAGAAGAACGCTCCTTAGCAACAGAAGTTCATGAAATAAAAGAAAGATTTAAATGCGGCTTAAAATTAGGGCAATAGTGTCTGTCAGATTTTAAAACATGGAAAGAGATCCTCTCTTATAAACAGGAGGAAAGCAAATATAAAAGCTCAGAAATATCTTCTAAGTCAGGATGGAGAAATAAGTTAATCTGGTGCATGTTCCTTTCACTGTGAGCTGACAGAAGTGTGTGTATGCTGTTTCTGTGCATCTAGTCTTCTGCTGGCTTCTGCGAAAGACATTGCTCTAAAGGAAATGGAAGTGATGATACATTTTTTTTCAATTACCCTGCTTGAGGACTGTGTCCATAAAGTTGAAACTCAGATAATCTTTTTCACTGAAATTTGGAGTGAAGGCTTTAGTAGTCACCTCTTTTTTACTCCCTCTTGTAAATACTGTCATGGTCTGATCACTCCTAGTTTTACACACATTGCCCTTCTAGCAAATGTCATCCATAGAACACATTTAAAATAATCACAGCCATGCGTCTTTGGAGAAGAAGGCTACCCTCAATACAAGACACAGCTAAAAATCTAGAACTATGTAAATACAACAGGAATAATATTTTTTCACTAATGTTTTGTATAGGTTTGTAATTGGACGAGAAAAACCGGGACAAGTGAGTGAGGTTGCACAGCTGATTAGCCAAACTCTAGAACAAGAACGCCGCCAGAGAGAGCTGCTGGAGCAGCATTATGCACAGTATGATGCAGATGATGATGAGGTAACAGACTGTCTAGCATTTCACTATTCCATGCTTTTTAATGTTCTTTTCTGTTCCTAATTCCTTCTTTTTAACTGTCACTTAGAGGTCAGCTTCTGGCCCTCTCCATTACCTCTGCTGATGATTTTTACAGATTTTGATGATGAATCTTATTTGAAGAACACAGTTACTGAAAAGCTTTTCGACATGGATTTAAAATATTTGTTTTGTTCCAGAAGAGCAAATATCAAATTGGTTGATGCTTCTGTAATTATTGCTCTTCCTCTGAAGGCGTATGTTTTTCTGAAATAAGGGGATGAAGTTGGTTTGCTTGTGCACTGAAACACTACGTTTTTTGTGAAAACTGGTAAAAGTTGCCTTCTAACTTTTAGGGGATTGAGGAAGTTTTATACCTTTCTTTTTTTTTCCTGGAAGAGTTGATGTACTTAGTTCAGAATATTAATTCAGAAATTAATTCATGAATGCAGAAAATTCCAGGTAAGACTCCTCTTTCCATACACTGCTTTGTGTTTCTGTGTGAACAGATATACCACAGGATAGAGAATTAACATACCTTGTCTGAAGTGTGTATTGATGTTCCCAGTTAGTGCCTAATGTCCCCATACAAAGGTTTTGAAACTAACAACTTTATGCAGTAAATTATCCATAATTTCTTTCCATTGTCTTAAAATTCCTAATATGCTAATTCCTAATATTAGGCAATTATCTTTACAAGCTACTTTTCCAGAGACTACTGTCTGTGTTACTCCCTAAATTAGCTGCTGGGTTAAGGCAAAAGTTAGTTGCTTCCACAAGAGACTGCTTCCACGTAGCCCAAGCATACCACCTTCATTTTGCATTATCTTGAATATTATATGAAATGCCAGACTCTATGTATTAGTGTGTTTTCATCCTGTGCCAGATTTTTTATTTTACTTGTAGAAGGAAGCATTAGAGAAGCAGGAGTATTGATGTTATGCATTTATTTCAGTTTAGTTTTCCTTTAAGCACTGAGACAAGGCTTCTAAACAGTTAAAAAAAACCCACAAAAAAACAACAAACAGAAAACCTCTGAGATAAAATTAGGATACACTCGGATTTTGAAACACACTGTTAAACTAGCAATAGGTCAGAACAATCGGAAGTGTCCCAGAAGACTAAATAAAAATTCTATCTAACCCCATTAATGCTTTCACTTAAATTTCCACTGATATTAGAAATAAAAATATTGTAATATGTTTTAGAATAAATCTTGTCATAGGTGTATATTTAACTCATATAGATAAAAGTTATACTCATCAGTATTGGGGATGCGTATGTATGTGTGCCTGTGCGAGACCATGAGGGCTAGAAAATCCATATCTTCTCTTTTCCCCCCTCAAACTATAGAAACATGCAAGTCATCTAACTTCTGTTTAGTCTTGAATTAAAATTCAAGATCTTGAGTAATTTCTTGAAGAAGCTCTATTATCTCCTCAAAAACAAAAAAAGATACAACTTTAGCCGTTGGATCAAGAGACTTCTCACAGCTCATCACAGCATGCTGTAGACATCCAGGTTTGAAGACCTGCAGTACCAAACATAGTCTAATAGCTTTCATGTTGGCAAGGAAAGGTGACTCCTAAATGTCTGACATTCAAATCCTTCTCACTGTGTACTTGCACGTAGAGTGATGTGCAGCTGAAGGTAGATTTGTGTGAGTAATTGATGAGGATGCATCAGTTGAGCAGAGGATGCATCAAGCTGCAGAAAATCTCAGAATTTTGTGTTGCTTCATGCACCACACAGGTGTCATAAGATCTGGAATTAAAGAAAACGTTGTTAAAATGGTAAATCAGTACTGATCCTGGTAGTACCTCAGTGTTCAGTAGGGATTATTGCTGTACTGATGCTGACAGTGACACTTTCATACTGATGACCATGCAAGTGTTTCTCGGCACAATAGTAACAGAGAACAGGGATGAGTATGGATCAGATATTTTTTGTGATGTGTCGTCTTTGCAATTCAGTGGTTACAAACTCTTCAGCCCTGTTCACTGCATAGATTTTTAACACAAAAAATACTAAATGCACAAAGTGTTTTCTATTGGTAGTGCCTTTGCATGACAGAGAGAATAAGACAGGGCAAGTAATTAACAGTTAAAGACATGTTTTCTTACTGTAGCACTAAATTGAGGATGGTTACTACCTCTGTGACCATGACATGTTCTTTTTGGCTATTAGCATTTGCAGTGCAAAGGGAACTTTTATGCAGTATGTGAGGAAAGGAGGAATAAGAAAGAAAAAAACAGTCTACCACGGGAGATCCAGAGAATCATCAAAGATTTCTTTTGGAATGAAAATGAATTGGGCTTCAGAACAAATGCAGTACTTCAGTTCTCAAAAATTACATTTGGAATCATTGAAGATCATACCTGTTTCCTACTTGATGCCATACATATATTTGGGAGAGGGGTGGTAAACATTACTCTCAGAATAGACAGCTGGGGCGTAGTTGCTAAAGTATGCAATGAGGCGTATTCCCTTTCTTACTTAAGAGACTTACCAGAAGTAGATTTTTTTTGGAACCTGCAGCAATCCTGAATATTTTAAATTTTTTTGTTACCTGACTGTGCTGTCCAAGTAAACTCACATAACTTGCACCATTCCCAAGCAACTGACACAATGGAAGCTGTGATCTAATGTACATTATACACAGTCCAAAGATGGTTTTGGTCACCACAAACCCTTTTGCTCCATTTACTGTTCAATGCAAGCATTACTACTTTGAGCTCACCTTGCTCTTTGAGGGCAAATGTGGCTGGGTTTATGTTGCTGTATGCCAGACACCACTGCCAGCCCTTCATTCTTTGTCTCTGGTAAGCATCTTTTGGGCCAGAAAATCTCAATTTACACTCTCTGACTGAATATCTGCAAATGTACAGAAAACCTACCCTTCTGAGTCCATTTCCTCAAAGTGATAGTGATTCTGGCTGTATGAGGGTTCAGGAATATTTGAATTGCCAGTGTAAAAGTTAAATGTTGAGGCAGCACATATACGGAAGTTGCTCAATCTCAGAGCTATCAAACTGTCCTATTCATTTTCATGCAGTTCTTAAAATACGGTAACATGGATCTCCAGCTGCCATGCTGCATAAATGAACAATACAATGATCTTTATTCAACCCTGTATTGAGACTGTCAAATTCTGAGCTTCAGAGACTTACCACAAAGACAGCAGTAACATATCAGGTTTCTGGAGCAGAAAATCAGTGATCTGTGTTTGACTCCTGGAGCCACCGCACATGACTGTGTTTGGTAGAGCTGGTCAAATCACAGGAAGAGAACGTATGCCAGGCATATGCAAGTCCTGGTGTTTTATCTTGCTGTGCCACCAGCTGTCTGGATTTCCTCTGTTCTGAAACTTATGACCGTCTTCATCATAGCCTGAGCAGCATCTCACTATTTTACAATGGTCCAAGTTCTTTAAAATAGCAGCATTACTGGGACAATTTTGACTTCTAGCCAGTGTGCACTGACGGGACTTGAGTCAGATGCTAAACTGGAGAGACACTGGTTAGCCTGCTGTAACTTCTCATTCCACTGTGTTGCAGAAATGTTACCTGATAGTTATTTGTTGGGGAAGATTCACACTGATACACACAGTGTTTCCAAACAATACATCATTTACTATATAAGTAATCCCGAAAGAAACATCATTTACTATATAAATGCCCTTCATCCTGCACTTCAGAATCTGCTGTTACTATGGGCTGCAGGTTGTCACAGGGTTGCAGGATGTTTTCAGATGCTCCCTTCATTTAAGTCTTTACATGGAAACACAAGAATCTTGTGCAGAACTGACAAATGCCAAAAAAAGAGGGATGCCCACAACGGGGTCCATGCAAAGACAAGCAGGATAAATGTGCAGCAGCTCACAAGTTGTTGATAAGCTCCCACGAGCCATGCAGAGCCAGTAGTACCAGTTATTTCTCAAGTACTACTTACGGTAGGCAGTGTTGGCATTTCCTGATGAGCCTGTGTTAACTACAATAAAGGTGGGAAAGTATGTTGTTTCACATGCTGCCTCTGGATAACCTGCTGCAGTTTATTCATCACCATTTCATCTAGCTTCCTAAAATCCCACATCCTTTTAATTTGTTGTATCCTGTCAGAAAACAAAACTCAAAGGCTTTGAAGTAGGCACTGTCTTTGTATTTCTTACTTAGTGTGTTAAGTACAATCTGAATCTGTATCCTTGACTAAAACCTGTTGACTACCCTGTGTTAACAGTGTTCTATGCACATTTTAGTCAAATTCTGCCATTTCTTCGAATTCTGATTTGAACATGGTATTACTTTCTTCATGTTCTAGTGAATGGCAAAAGTCACATAAAGCGGTTCCCCTGAAGGCTGCATATGGTGATGCAGGATGTGAAATTAATAACATATTGCAGAATTCTATTCACTCTGTGACTGCGGACAAGTAGTTTTATGCAAGTGACGTTTTAATGTATTTTAATATCACTAGTAGTCATATGAATATTTTTTCATTTTTAATTCTCATTTATTGGGACATTTTGAGAGCAAAGCAACATTAGAACCATTGAAGAAAATCTTGACACACACAAAAGAAAAATGTTGCAATGTTCTCGAATGTCTAACACCCAAAGAACATACTTGTTAAACAAGGTCTGTCAGAGAGTGTGTTTTTTCTGGCATCATTAGTATGAAGCACTCCTGTAAAAGTGACGGTTGATACTATACCATTATATTTTTCTTTGCACTTTCAAAAGAATTAAGTATAAACTGAAAAAAATCAAATGAAGAGTTGGGCTTGAGTTATTTTTATAGTTCTTCAAATGGTGTTCCCTGATTGTGGGAGACTGTCAGCATAAACAAAAGATTTAGCTTGATGCAGTCTTTGTTATGGTGATTTGGGGAAGGTCTGTCTTCATTATCCTGGCTGGTGCTGCTGCTCCTTCTTTCTGCTTGGAGTGTTAGGCCCATTTCAAGAATTTACAAGGCAGTTAAACAACACAAGTAACACATTTTCCCTTTTAAAGTGGGAAATTGCAGTTCATGTTTATAAAGATAATTTCATACTATTAGCTGTGATAGCACATAGCAAATTGAATAGCTAATATCAGAAGCTACTGCTGTGGATGGGATAAGCTTAAGCCGTAGGTGGTACTGAAATGAGGAATACATCTTTTGCATGGATGAATTTTGCTCGCTAATACAGACTGAAGAGTCCGAGGTTTTCCTTCAAGAACATACAAGTTTTCATTGACTGTTGACTAAAAAAATATTATTGTTGTTGTCAGCTAAGAATACAAAATGTGTTGCAAAGAACCTCAGGCAGCTACAATAACAGCTGTTACCTTACAAGGCTTCATTATTTTGAAGTAAAATAATTTTAGTCTGTGCCTTGCTGCTTCTTGTAAAACACTGAATTTCCCATTCTAGTTTCTGGCGCAGGGGCTGAACAACCTTCTAGTAGTTTCATGTGAAACAAAAGTAAGAAGAGATAATTTTTTTTTCAGGGAAAGTATGTTGCATGTAATTTACGATATATTTCCTTAAAGCACACATTGGTTCTTTTGAACCTGTAATTTGTGTTTCATGTGATCGTAAGATCCGATCCCTTTCTTGGGAAGACAAAAGCAAAAGTCCCATTTATTTCTGTGTTCTTTAATGTGTTTGTGTCTTCCTGCTGTCTTGTTTACCTGAGCAAACCGCAGTGCTTTGCTCTGGTGACTACTTTTTGCATTGATCGAAGCAAAAATGACTGTGCTCATCAACACTCATTTGTACAGTTTGAAGCAGGATTTTCCTTTGTGTTCATTTTAAGTTGCCTGATGTCCCTCTTCAAACACTGGCTCCCGAGGCCAGTAGAATATTGTCTGCTCTTGAATTTTTCCCCAGTCCTTCGTATGTGTTTGTTTTTCTTTTTTGTATGAAGTACTTGCTTAGTTTTAAGTCTTTGGAAGAATCAGTTTCAACTGAACTCATCTGTTTTATTCTTTTACCAAAATTGGTAAATATATTTAGGATTTTGCATTAAATGGATATATTCTTTTAAAATGTACATGTAGCTGAGCCAGATCTGTTTTTTTTAAAATAAACTGGGCATGAGTTTGCTATTTAATGATCCTATATCTGCCTCCTCTTTGCATGTTTCAGAGATTTTCTTGCCACTGCTTATGGACCTGCCAAGATTTTTTTTCACGTAGAAATGATAGTTGTATATCACCTTACAGATTTTTCAGGGATAATGACTGCAAAATTGACAGTACATGGATTGTGTTAGTATTTTCTCACCACAATAATTCATTTAATTGAAATCTCACTGGGATTTTTAAGTTAGTTGTTCCACTTCTAGGTGCCCTGATGGTGTGTGAAGGTGGTGTCACGTGCTCCTGGAAAAAGCCAGGAGGGGTAGAAGACTAATTTTCTGTTTAGACAGTAACTGCACGTACCCCTGGGGGATAAAATAGAAGCAGAAGTTACTACAAATGTAGCATAACAAAAGATTTTGAATGTGCATGTGAGATCTAGACATACAAAATGATAGATTTAATTTCAGGTGTTGTTTAGCTGTAATGCTAACATGCCTGAAAACTCCAGTGATGGATTTTGTGGTCTTTGCTTCTGTTTCAAATAAGGAAAAAAGAAGCAAAATAGCTGTTAACTTTTTCTGTTGAAAACTACTGAGTTTCTTAGTCTTAGTACATATAAAGAATGTAAAATAAATGGTTACCACTTATTGCAATGACAATATGTAACTATTTATAGAGACAGAGATAGCTCTCCTAAGTTGCTCACATAAACAGTGATGTTTAAAGTATGGGTGGGTCATGCATGTTGGTGAGTTGCCTTCTTTTTGATAGTTCTCATATCAGAAGATTTTACCAAATCATTCTGTGCTTTCTGTGTTTTGGCTTTTTTTGGTTTTAAAACTTTAGTGGCTTTAAAAAAGGAGAATACAGATTTTTCATGATCTTTAAAGGTCCCTTCCAACCCAAACAATTCTGATTCTATGTGCTATTTATCCAAGAAATGATGATGTTGTATTGCGGGTTTATTACCCTGTTGTTGGACACATGCATATATCTTTTCTGTCTGTGTGTACTTGTGCACCTAGATTTAACATGCTTCCATGCACTGCTTTTTAATTGAGAGAGATTTACATAAGCCTAAACAACAGCTGGGAAACTAAATTAATGTAGGAAGTTGAGATTCAAACTGTTGTTTGGACATCTGAGTTTTTGCCTCTTATTTTGAAAGGTTCTTTTGACAAAAAATGGCACTTATAGGTAATACTAGCACTGCTGGGAATATACTTCTGATAATAATGTTACGTGCCTTCATCTCAAGAACTGAAAGCTCATGAACAAAAACTTGAGTACTTCTGACAGAATTTTTGTATTATTACTGTATAAACATGAGAAGGACTGCACCCCTTCCCCCGCCCTTCCTTTTCCATGTATTTTTTGAGTCCAAAGCTTTATAAATCCAGATGTGGCCCTGAGGGAAATGTTTGCTTTATAATATGTTTGCATAGTCATTTGCATAGCCAGCAGGCTGTTTGTAATCCGTGGTCCATATGGGATGTACTCCAGCTTCAAGAGGGAGCCCTGCTGAAGCGAAGTGGTACCCAGCCATCTTAGGCATGGGGGGAGATGACCACAGGTGTATATGCAAATTAGTGTCTCAGCAACTTGGGGTTTAACATTGCAAGCTTTTTCTTTCCAATATTATTTTTTTTTTATTTTGTTTAATCTTGAGATACTGATTGTATTTTATGATTTTTTAAAATTCTGTTTAGTCAGCAAATTGTTCACATCTCTTGGTTTACCAGCCCAAGAAACACCCACATTTTCTGTTTAAAACTAGCTAGAAATATTTCCTTATTCGGGGTTCAAATTCAGTAAATTCTGACTTCAGTCTCTGAACTTGCCTCTGACACTCAGTTTCTTTTTCCTGCTGTTGTCTTTCTGTCTGGGTATGACTTTTCTATCATTAATTTGTTTATAAAGAACAAACCAATGGATTTTCAAATTCAATGTGGAATATCACTGGAGAATTACTTCCTTCAGATGTTTTTTATTTCTCTTTGGAAAAGACTCCTTGTTAAATCTGAGATAAATTTGGAGAGGTCTTCCTATGGAAAATAGGCCTCACTTGGAAGAGGATGAAAAACCATTGAAATATAGAGCCAGTAATGCTTAACCACTGAATTCTTTTCTCCTCTCTCTTAATGTTCTAAATACTACTGTGGAGTTGTATTTTGTCTGGTAGAATTCATAAGTACTGGGATTATAGCTAAAGAAAAGATAAACTTTTTTGTATGCAGTATGCTGTGTTTGCACAGTAGCTTAATTACTCTTTGAACAGTCTCTGCCTAATAAGAGGATAACTGGAATTTCTTAAATGCTATAAAATTAAGACAGGGGAATATGCTACAGATGAAGAAGATGAAGACATGGGACCTGTCCTTCCAGGAGGTGACATGGCTATTGAAGTGTTTGATCTCCCTGAAAATGATGATATGTTCTCCCCCAGTGATGTGGACACCAGCAAGCTTGCTCACAAATTCAAAGAGGTAAGTTATGGATCAGAATATATTCCTAGTTTCCTGTTTTTTCTCATTGCTCAGTGCTTGGTTTTTCTGTTGAAAACTAGAGTTGATTTCTAGCTGTATACTCAGTACTTTTAAATGACTCAAAAAGCTCCAAAGAAGTGGAAGCTATTCTTTGAAGTTGTTTTAGCATCAGCTTTCAGGTGAGTGTTGCATTGATGGAGGGTAATTAATAATTTAAATTTTCAGCACAGAAGGTATTCTGCCTCAGCACTTTGTTTGCATTTTTTAACCAGAAAGACAAAGTGCAAGTTAATTCATTACTAGCAGATTGTTTTTTTTTTTTTTTTTTTTTTTAAAATAGTGAGATACCAGTCAAAAGTGTTCAGGAAAACCAAAGAGCAAATACTAAATTTCAGTACAAAGGAACACGTGGAGCTCATCCTATACCATTACACAGCAACTCATCAATGTGCAGCAGTGTCATACATTTGGCCATGTGATTAGAAAGATGATGTATTTGGGAAGTAGGCATATTTCAGGCTGGTGTTCTAGCAAACTCTGTACTTACAGAGTTTGTATAGCATCCAGTGGTACTAACTGGACCTTCAATCAGTGGTGTTCACTGTGGTCACTGAATTCATATAACTTAGCAAACTAAAGTACTGAGAAACATCTCTTCTGTATTTTAGGCTGTGCTTTTGATGTGGTTTATTTCTGAGCTTTCCTGAATATTGATGCAAATAAAGATTGGATTTATCTAAGTCCACCATAGTGAGCTGAGTGATGACAATAAAAAACATTTTTCTTTTTAAATACAGGAAAATGGAAGGAGTAAAAGTAGCCAGAACCTCACAGGAGATTTGAGCAACAGAACCTGGGCCCAGAAGGGAGTTTTAAAGTAGAGAGGCTCCCTTTTTATTGTTCTTCCTCTCTCCTTTCCCTTTCCCCTTCCCTCCACTCAAACTAGACATTTTATCTTCAATAGATATATCTTCTTGCTACTTTATAATGAGAGTAATGTATGGAAAGTAATCAGCCAATGAGCAACCAGTCTTTCGCTTTTCTGCTGATACCCTTTTCAGCCTTTGGGTGCCAACTGTTACTCATGATTATTTCCTGAAAGTTTTTTACTTATATGATAATTTTCTCACTCCATATTTCAAGTCCAGGCTCTTATGCAAATTAGCAGGGCGATTTACTTCATTTTCTGATACATTGCATCATACTCAAAGCAGTGGGAAGATGGTGCCAGTGTACCAAGGATAGGCAAACCACAGATGCAGTGATGGGCAATGCACTCATCTTTGAATAAATTACCTGTAAAACTATGCTTGAATACAGTTTCCATCAACTTGAATGGCAAGTATGGCTACTGACATACTTCAGCATGTCCAGACTGATTTGAAGCTGTTTGCGGACCTGTCTGATGTAGTGGCCTCAAAACGGCGGTGTAGAGGAGATCAGATGAAGGGACTTTGGGATCCTCCAGTTTAAGTGCAGAAAACATTAAATGCTCTTGCAGAAGGGTGGACTCTTTTTCACTAGCCCACACAGTTACCGCTGTTACGAGCATGACACTTTTATTTCACTGTATTTAACAGTACACAGCTGCATTTTGTTGGCTGCTACAGAGTGAGTACATGTATTTTTCTTGCTATTTGCCCTGAATTCTTTCAACACTAGAGGACTTGTTCACGATCACGCTGCACAAACCCACACAGTGTTTTCTGGAATTGTATTTAAAGAATAATTGTTCTTTCTTGTTCTTACTCCAGAGATTAATGAAAGTATTAAACAAGTGGGTTGTACACAATCTTTAAGTATAATAATTTGACCTAATTACTTGAATTCATTCTTTGCAATGAAAAATGTGCTCACATACTTTGAGAGCACTCTTATTTGTAATGCCTTGCTTTTGTAATGAAAGTCAGAATAAAGATGGGCATTCCTGGGTGAATCACTGTATTTCTGCAAGTCTTGTTTTCCTGGCTGTAAAACAGGAAAAATGGGACTGATTTTCCTTAACTGCTTTGAGAGAAAGACCTAGAAGCTTTATTTTAGCTGTGAGGACTGAAGAGAGACAACAGCTGTAGGGAGGAGTATCTTATGTAAGAATTAAGTATTATATTTCATGTCTTAATGAAATCTATTAAAAATTATTATTATTATTATTATATGCAAAATATACATAATGATTATATACAAATAGTCATGGAGGTTATTAGATTCCATTGGGTACTTTCATTCCCAGTGTACTCTGAATATTTTAACAGTTGCTAGCTTTTCATCTCTTTCTACCTTTTGCAGTCTTAGATGAACTCAATCCATTTTCTCTATATATCTTTTTATTAAAAGTTTTATTGTTTTGAAGAAAATTAATCAGCTTTTCAAGACATCTTTGAAAAGGAAATGGTCCAAAAATTATTCAAAATGTCTTTGTTCAAATGAAACCTTCACAGTTTTAGATTGACTTAGAAAAATTGAAAATACAAAATAGTATCTGCCGAGAATTTGTCTGGCATTATATAGGACATGGAATAAGGTATTTCTGCCACCCCTGTTAGTAAACTTGCTTAAAAATTTTTAACAATGAGTCCAGATTTGCTTGCCAAACTGTTGACCTTGCGTGTCGTTCAGTATAACCTATAAATGTGTTAGTATCTCATCTATTCTGCAAGCGTAATTAGTTCTTTTAAAAAAAGAAAAAAAGTCCATGTCCAACTACACACTTGTCTGTTCAGCAGGAAAGTATCTTTTTTTCTTCTGCCTCAGTGGGATCTGCTGTACCATGTACTGATTCAATAATCTGACTGGGTGCTCAATATTCTTTTTTTTTTAACTTAACAGAGAGTATAAAAATAACTGTTAAAACCATCTGTACCTGAGCAGATTGTCATTTATGCAACAATTTGGAGTTTATTTGTATGTAATAATAAGCTGTTTGAGTGCTGCTTCTGGGTTTGTGAGGCTTTAGAAGAGATGGGAATGGACTCTTAGTAGGTAGCCTAAGGCTTTGAGTCTTGGCTTCTATTTCATTATTAACTCTGCAAAGGGCAAAGTCTAGCTCATCCATCCTTCCCCTGATTATATCTCCAAAACAATGAGATAGCAGAACTAAGGAAAGGCCTGGGCACTTTATAACACTGTAACATTTTGAGATGATTCTTTTGTAATTTTTCACTATTAACAGAAATGGAAGGATGAGAAAAAAAGTTCGCAGTCTCTGAAAACTGCAGATCAAAGGTTGGATTGAGTGAGCTCAAAAATTGCAAGTAACCTCTTGCAAGTGCTAATTAAAGTATCTCCTTCATTTCCTCTACTGCCTATAATGACAAAAAGGTATATATTTTTCTCGGCTTCCCAGTCTACTGGATCGAGTAACACCGCTAGCCACTTCTTGCTGTTAACACCAGCTCCAGGGCTGCTGAGGGCCCTGTTGCCAGCCATGCTGACATGTCTCTGTCGTGGACCAGTAGCCCTGCTCTCATGTGGATCACACAGGAACCCTGTATGATCCGCAGGCTAGCTGTGTGCTTGGAGCAGGTTCGGTCTGGTCCATGCATGTTCCACCTGTTAGTGTGCCTGGTGTGCCTCCACATTTTACATGTCTCTGCAAGCTGTTCTAGTTAGTGACTAGTTTCATTTGAAATGAAATCTCATATCTGTTTTCACTGAGCACTTGAAGATTTGTAACACTTTTCAGTGCAAAGTCAAAAAGTGAGTGTAAGTGGCAGGTGATCCTGGGGATACAGTCTCTGCTGCAGACAGTGACCAAGAAATGATTGGTGGAAAGAAGATTCCTAAAGTGTTCATCAGGTGGGACTGGTTGCATCAGTGCCTCCTTTATTCCTTCCAGCATAAATTCAGTAACGCTCCACCAGAAAGGAGAGGCTTATTCACTAGATCAGTTAGAGCTGATTTACAAACCAAACTGCATCTGACTGAGAGTACATTTCCTATACTGCCAGAGGAAGCGTGTTCAAGAGGTTCCATGGAAAGGGAATTTCAAATGTACCTTGGCCTCTCTCAGAGATGCCTGTACCGATCAGCTCTGTGATGGCTCCTGTAATGTTGAAAATTACTCCTCTCCTCCAGAAGAACGTCTCTTTTAAATTATTTGTACATTTTTTTTTACTAACAGCCTGGTCTTCAAAAATGTAGCCATGGCTTCACCAGAGATGATAATTTCTGGTTCAGTACAACTCCGTCACATACTCCATTAGCTCAACATAAACTATTCCCAAAAGGCTCCTGTTAGTCTTGCAAGGGAAATAGCCCCCATGTAAAACATGCTTTTCTGTAACTATGCCTAGTATTCATAAATAATGGACAAAGGCTTTGTCTCTACTGCAGTGCCAGCTCAGGCTGCAATTCAGACCCTTGCCCTCAACTTCTTACCCAACACACAGAAGTCACTGATTCAGATTAAACAGTGCTTTAGATTTAAAGTTTTGGGGCCTGTCAGAAGTTTGTCTGTGCTGCCTACTTTAAATAATAAAGCAGCAGGAGTTCAGGTGCAGAGCAGTATTGGGTGCATGTGCATAAACATTTCCATTTGGATTAGGGTTGTGCTGATGAAACTGTGGTTTGATTCAGAGTACTTCAGAGCATTAGAGCCTGTGAATAGGAGACTTTGGGGCTGAAACTAAAGATGTTTCAGGACATTGCCTAATATACTCAAAGACCTAATGAGTATTCACTCCACAGGATCAGACTAATGTAGATTAGTCCCAAAGAAATTCCCCCAGAAAGTGTGCAGGTGGGTGCCAGGTCCTTAGCACCAACCCATTCATTGTACAAACCCACTGTTACTGTGGCATGCTGCTTGGTAATGTAACTACAACCTTTAGCACACTGCCTGGGCTGTTAATCTACTTGCAGTCATTTTGTGTGCTTGAATGCCGTTTCCTGTTTTTTACAGTTTCTCTGTGTAACTGCTCTGAATTGCGATTAGCTAGCTTGAGCAAAATAACTCCAGCTAATGGTGGAGAAGGATAGCATCAGTGTACCTTTCTTTGGCATGAAATAAACATGTGGAATCTTCCCTTAAAGTTTTCCTGACTTTTTGCGTTGTTAAATCACTTATTTCTGTATCTGCTTTTTTGTAATGTGCCTGCTTTAATCAATGCAGTGGGGCTTTCTGACAGCACTGGGACATATTTCACGTTCATATCAGAGGAGAGCAAAGCCCAGCAGGATAACATCTATTTTTTTTTTTAAGCATAAGACATTTGATTTTGCTAAACAGATTGGATGTTCTGATTTGAAATTATGAGTGGTTAGACGGCATCCTATCTTTAATTAGGTTGCACAGACTGAGTCATTTTGCAAGCTAGACATTTTAATTTACAATCTACTGCACTGCAGCACTCTTCAAGGCCTTCTGCTATGTAATAAGGTATTCAACTTGCAGCACAGGCTTTAAAAATACTGGAGTACTCTCTGTGACTTCACTTGTTTATTTTATATTTTCAATTTTAGTTGCAAATCAAACATGCAGTTACAGAAGCTGAAATTCAGAAGCTGAAGACGAAGGTAAGAATCAATATATGGTTAATACATGCTGGTTTTTTCCTCTCATGCAAAATCAGATCTGAAGACATATATCTTTATGTGGGTGGAGAAGTCAACATCCTTGTTAAAGGCTGATTAAGAAGCACAGTGGCTCAGCTAAATCTTCTCTTGGTGTATATTGTCTTTTCAAAGTTTTAAGTAAAATCTTAAGTGCTGCTATTAAGAGAAACTGCCAACTTGTGTAGCTTCAATTATACGTATATTTTAAGGGGTATCATAATGACTAAATGGCAGATTTCTAGTTTTACAATTCTAATGCATGTCAGGTTTTTAAGTTATATTTGGATTGAATATTCAAACCTAAGTTAGTAGATTTTTTTATTTACCAGTGATGTTAAAATATCCTGTTTACGCTAGTTTCCTTTTTTTGACACTTAACCCCCCCCATATCTATTTAAAGTTATTTAATAGAAATTACTTTTTATATACAGAAGAAAAAGTGCTGTTTCATATTGTTGCCGTTCTCTTTAAAAGATACTCTAGAAAGGAAAAAGCTTACCAGTTTTAACATTCTTTCACAATCGGTTGTTAGTTATTAGATTGAATTTGCTATAGCAATGAAAAGGAATTGTGTTTTTTGTACTAGGATAGCCTTTATGGGAATTCAACTGATAATTCAGTTGTTGAGTAACACTGGATTTTATGATGATATCCTTCTGTTTGAGTACACGTTATAAAGGAAATAAAAAGAAGAGAAAGTGAAAATTGTATTTCAGAAAAAGATTTTAGATTATTAGCTCTTGCTAGCAACATTTGCACGCACCGTGTATTTTGCATAGTGTTTATCAAATCTGCATAAATTATTGTTAAAAACAAATTCGAAGTGCAACTATTTTCTGTAAGGACTGTTTCTATTCTATTGTTTCAGTTCAAAAAGTCAAAAATATTTTCTTCCTCTGCTTTGCAGTTCCAATCCAAAAATCGAGCCGCACGGTCAATCCCTTGGGATTGTGCCAAACCCCATGGCAATGATGCGTGGGTGTAAACATTCATTTATGCAAATCTATTTGCAAGATTAGGATTAATGTGCTTTTTTACGTTGAATTTATTTACCTTGTGTGAGCAGTAGAGCTGAAGAAAATGTGGCTAGTTTAGGTATATTACTAATAAAACTGCAGACAAGTTATTTTCTTTGTGTGTGTATCATCCATGATGTTAGCAGAACTGCCGAGAGCAAATTAAACAGTCTTGATAAGTAAACAGGGTTGTTAAAGCAATTTTTGTTTTCTGTAAATTCTGGGAGCTAAAATACACAAGCTGCTGAACAACCCTACCTTTATCCAGCACCAAACATTGAAACCTGCAGCTAGCTTCAGTTGGGGAGTAAAAAGCCTAACACCAAAAAAAAAATCTAAAAAAAACCCCTAGCAAAGAAGCTAACATTTATTACAAACTCAGCAGTAAAATTTAGACTTCTTTGAAGTCACTTGGAAAAAGTCATTGGGCTTCTTTGGTGCCAAATAGTGGAACTAGCGGTGGAACTGCACTGGTCATAGAGTCCAGCAGTGCTGATGTGTTTGGCAGAATTTCCACCTGAAATCTTCAACAGTAAGGGCATATTTTCCTTCTTATATTAGCTCCTTACAACTCGGTAAGCATGTTTAAGGAAAACAAGAATAATATATTTATAACAGGTTCTCTTTGTCCTTGTAATAGTTCCGGCATAGTTTCAGCATTGGATGCAAAACTCTGCTTTCTTAAGTAAAGGTTCTAAGTAACAACCCGATGTTAAATTTTGAATTATGCTCCAACCTCTTTTGTTTGGCTTTCTGGATTAAACAAGATTATGACATGAAAACAGACTTCGTAAATTCAACAGAATTTCTAATCTGGGGGGAAAAGCAGATAGTTAGATTAAATGCAATTGGGTTTTTTTCCTATTTTTTTCTAAATCATTCTTAAATCAAATACAGAACCTGGAAATCAGATTCCCCCCAAAATAAGAAATTTAATTGTTTTATGGAAGTGTGTGAATGCTTTAAAACACCTGAGCCACACAAATAGAGCAAAATGCATCCCCAGTGCTGACTGAATAACCCTGCAGTTTGCCTGAATACTCCATCATTGACATTTTTAAAGGGTGTTAGTATAACCCAGAGAAGTATAAAGGCTGCACTGGAACACAGAGCAAAGGCTCTACTGCATTTTATGAGGAAGAATAACGTATGTATCAGCCTGTTTTCTTTGTCCTGGAATGTTGTTTTCACTGCTAGCATATTACTATTATAGTTACTAATTCACTCATTTTCACTATTCATGTTGTTTGAATTAATCCTAAACTGTTAGGCTGCAATTTGCAGCTTTTTACTGACTGCATGTCAACTCTTTTGTTCAGCTGCAGGCTGCTGAGAATGAGAAGGTGAGGTGGGAGTTGGAGAAGACCCAACTCCAGCAGAACATTGAGGAGAATAAGGAAAGGATGATGAAATTAGAGAGTTACTGGATTGAGGCACAAACCTTGTGTCACACAGTGAATGAGCACCTCAAGGAGACGCAAAGCCAGTATCAGGCTCTGGAGAAGAAATACAACAAGGCAAAGAAACTAATCAAGGATTTTCAGCAAAAGTAAGCAGCTACGCCAGGCTCAGCAAATGACTTAGTGGCCAGATAGGAAACATATATGTGATATATTTTGAAATATGAAACCCACTATTAAACACCTGTAAGGTAAACACTGTTTTTCACTTGTTTTTCTCCATGAAAAACACAGGCTCTTTATTATGAAAAATGTTAGTAGCATTCAAGTATTAGTTTAGTATTGTTGAAAAATAGTACTATAACTAAAGACAGTCTGTAGTATTCAAGCTTGGAATGTTTCAGAATTACTAGATAACTCAATATGATTGCAAACGACCAAGAGTAATCATAGTAAAGCCTTTGATTAGCAAGGTTTGCAGCAATTTATATTGGCATTGTGTCAGCTGGATTCACTCCTGCTGTGTACTAATCTAACATCAAAAAGATAATTGTTTTGTTACATTTTATTTTTCTTCTTGTAGATGCCAAGAATGTTTGAGCTGAGTTGAGCTAACTGATGATTACATGGCCCCCTCTGTTTCATGTGCCCCCCTCTCCCTGATGGCTAACAAGAATAATAAGTTACATTTCTGTAACAGCTTCCATTCCCCCCAGTTATCTTTTTTTCAGCAACTTTTTCACCTTCTGCTGAAATATACTCATTTAAAGGAGAAAACTCAGAAACATACGGAAGTGTCAAGTGACTAGGAGCACAGAAGTTAATATCCTGTCCCATTAAAAAGGGTTTTAGATTGTCAAAATGTCATTACTCATCTTGGAATTTTGTGACTGTTCCAGAGCTAGCTGGTATCTTGTGTACTTTCTATCACAAATGTCTTAGATTTTCAAAATAAAAAGAAATAGGGAGAATAGCTATAATGATCTTGGATAGCCTTTCTGTTGTTATTCTGCTTTATATGAGTAAAAGATCTAGTCCATTAGTTTTAACTATCTCAGACTCCTAAAATCACCTCACAAATTTCCTTATAGCTTACTAGAAAATTAGATTTGTATCTGGAAATTTAAGGATATTCTTTCTGTGAAGGAGTGCAGTCATACTCTTAATAAAACAGAGATTTTTCTCAATTTCCTACAACAGAACACAGCATAAACCAAACTAATGTTTTCATTGTAAATACAGATTATGAACTGTTTTGATTATCAATTAGAGTAAATGAGATATTTTTTTTTCACATAAGTTATTCTTACCATTTTCATATCTTCACTTAGACTAAGCAACTGTTTAGGGTTTTGTCCTAATTGCAGTTTTACACTTCTTACTAGGTTAGTAATAATTTTTTTGTTAAGTACAGGGCGGGCAGAGGAAACAAGCAGCCGATTCAATGTGAATGATAGAGCAAGCTTCAACTTTATTGATAGAAATCACACCTTATATAAGCAGTCTACAATATACTACTTGCAACTCTATTGGATACATTTAAGAAAACTACATTATAATATCTCAGCCATTGGGTACATTCAAAAGATCACATTATAATACACCAGCCCCTTGTGGCATTTCTGGTATGCATAAACATCTTTCTTGCTGTAAACCTGCTTCTCTCCCAGGGCTGCTTCTCTTCACCCCCCAAGGTCGTAGTGCGCCCCCAACTTATCTCTGTGTTCTCACAACAATCCTCGCTAGCACAACTGAGCCCTGGATCTCCATCCTTGTTTACATAACTGTACCCTGGGTTCTTTGTTTACCTCAGGTGGCTGGGACCGACTTCTGCAGGGAGCTATGGCCGACCAGCTCCTGCAGGGAGCTATGGCCTTGCTCTCTGCAAGCCGTTCTCCAACAGTACAGATTTTTCTGATGGATAGCTTAAGGTGTATTGGAATATTTTATTTTCTGTTTTAATCTGATTGCTTTGATGACAGCAAATACATCTTTTTTTTCCCTAAGAGAACTTGACTTCATCAAACGCCAGGAAGCTGAACGAAAGAAAATAGAAGATTTGGAGAAGGCACACCTTGCAGAGGTTCAAGGCTTACAAGCTCGTGTGAGTAGTATTAACTCTCATATTTGAAGGATGAGGCAATTCTGATACTCTGGAAGAAATCCATATCTAATAAATATGTGTGTATGTGTATTATAGGTAAAACTGTGTTGTATTTCTTTCAGATACGAGACTTGGAAGCAGAAGTTTTCAGGCTAATGAAGCAAAATGGGAGCCAGGTGAACAATAACAACAACATTTTCGAAAGGCAGACATCTTTTGGAGAAGTTTCTAGAGATCCAGTGGAAAATCTAGACACTAAGCAAGTGTCCTGCCTGGATGGCTTAAGTCAAGGTTTGTTTGAACCAAACCGTAACTCCTATTAATGTGTCTGTAAATAGCATGGTTATCATTTAGGATTTAAAAGAAACAATTCATAATGCAGGGATGTTGTTATTTTTCTGAAAATCAGTATCTGATTGCAGCTGTATCAGGTTTATACCAAATAATGCCATATAGAGACCCAGAATAACTGTACAATATATATTCTTAAAGAAATGGAAGTGACTAAGTGCTAATAAGCAAAGATCATTATTGATTTCTTAAAGCTTTCAGTGGGATGCCATCAACATTTAGGTTTAATTTGTTGCTTCTGTTGTGTTAATAAAGTAGGAGAAAATCGTGTTTTCTCCTATGTTCCTAAATCTGTCATTAATTACCCAACCACCAAAGATCAAAGAAGAACAAAGTTACCAGAATGAGAAAAACAATGTTAAATCTGCCATATTGAATGGATCTCTGCAGGTTCTGATCCCACCTTAGTACAGATGTCAAAAGGAACCGTGTAGGTGGCACTCGCCATTTCTCAGGATGGAGCCTTTTGTGAATAAAATGCAAATTCTTCACTAGCACATCAATTAAAAATCTTATTCGGCTATAGCACAGCCTGATTTACAACATAAGACTTGCAAGACTTTGTTCTACATTACCAAAGAGCCAAAACAGTTTGTGGCAACACTGAAATCTGGATAGATGCTGTCAGCAGGGTCACTGTAACCATTATTTGTTTTGCATAGAAAAGATAATTCCTATTTTTCAGGCTGTGCCAGTTAAAATATACAGATAACTTCCAGAGCTTTAGCTAAAGCCCTGTAATTGCAAATGGCTCCTCACTGTTGAATTACATGCAGAATTAAAGCAAATTTTAGGTCTGCAGCCTTGGAACAAAATTGTTTAGTGCAGGAGCATAGCTACTGTGTATTTAGTAACATCTGTGAAATCAGGTGTTGGAGGTGTTGGGATTCTGACAAGGGAGCACCAGACTCTGTTCCTTTATAGATATTTGAAATAAACTATAATATTTATTTCTCTGGTGAAAAAAAAAAAAAAAAAGCATTATATTACCAAATAAATTAATTTCTTGCAAGCACAGAGATGTTTTATTGAAATTGATACTTTAGCAGTTATTTCCTATGTGGACCCAAACAGTATTCCTCTACAAACAGATCAATATGAATTACATTTTTTACAAAGTATGTGCATAAAAAAGAGCTAGTCCTGCTGAAACAGTATTTGGGTGATACACAGACCTTGTGGAGTTGGTTTCTGCAAATCATCACAGAGCTGTTTCTTTCTAGCAAGTGATTATTATACTGAAATCTCTGAAGTTCAGAGAAGCACTCAGGATGACAAGGAAGTCTGTATTTCTGCCATAAAGACTCAGTAAATCTTAAAAAATAATTAATACTTAGCAACACTGTTAACAGAAACCCTTTCAATAGTTTGCATCAGGAGAGGAAAATGTGTTTTCTTTAACTGACTTACAAAAATCATGTTTACACTTACTGTTGTAACAATGTCAGTACACATCTATGGCCCAAGAGCTGAAATCCAGGATTTCTTACATATAAAAAAACTCCTCTTTGTAACATTCATTCTAAAAATTGGAAAATTCTTCATATAGCATTTAAACTCTGTGTGTCAGTACTTTCAAAATATATTTTTGAATTGATATATTTGCATGAAAGTTTTCATTTCCAAGAGCTGCCATTTTTCTTTGCAAAAGCATTCCCCTAGAGAAACACTACCAGTGTTCAGTACTGCTGAGAGATAGAACAGATGATCTGTGAATTTAAATGCCCAAGTTTAACCACCTGAATATAAACACAAATTATTTGCTAGGAAAAACAGACAATTAACACTGATTTTTTTGAGAGTAGAAAAAGCATAGTTAGACCTTAGATTCCAGGCTGGATTTCTGTTTTTAACAAAATGACTTTTTTAAAATAAAGCGATCCCAAAACATGCTGTAGAACTCTTTGACTTCCATACACCTTTTTCCAGCAGATTATATATTGGAGTCCCTGAAGTCTGTATCAGACTATAATGTAGTGATACTTGATCTGTAGACAAAAGACCCTATGTCTTCATATCACCCTTGTGTAAACATTTTAAGAAAAGGACTTCCTATTGTCTAGGAGTACTAATCACTAATAATTAATGTATTTACTGATAAACTCGTGGATGTGCAGAAGAACTCTAAAGGGCAGAGGAGATGTCCCTGATGTCTGCAGGGTGAGCAGAGTTCCTCTGGGTGCAGTGTGCTGTGCATGCCGTCTTTGTAACATTCACGCAAGTGCACCAGTCTCTTTTCTGGCTTTTGTTTGGCAAGTATAGCACAGACTTCTTTATCAAGCCCCAGCATTAGGTTTGTGGAGTGGGACAGCCACATCCTGTAATTTTTATTTTGAGGTTTGCAGGTCTGTCTTCCCTCAAACAATCAGATTATGTAAATATATATTTTAATTAAAATTATACCAAGTACATTTTTTGCTTCAATGTGATCTGAGATGTTTATTACATTCTTGCATGGTAATTGATTTGATAAGAAGTAATAGATGTAACTTGCTGGTTGCATACGTACAAACGTAGCTGTCCCTGCCGCTGCAAGTGCTCCGGCTGTGTTTAGCATCATGCCAGACTGTACGACTCCTCAGGCTGTACCATAACCTCATACTGAGTTTGAGGGTCTGCCAGTAACATCAATGGAAGTTAGAAAATCAAAACCATTATGATCCAGAGAGTTCTTCCTTTGCTTTGCCAGGGAATACTAAAAGCCTGAGGATTGTGTTTCTTTTACAAATATATTACTTATTCTGAGAGTCCAGAAAAACAGATAAAGTGCATTGTAGCTTTCTGGTTTAGTGGTCATGAGCTGTGTCTGCAGTAGAGAATCAAGCTATTTACTGGAAGGAGTCAGTGGTTTGAAATCTAAACAGTTCAGTGCTGATGCTGACTTTGACAGTATTTGCTCGTCTCTGTGCAAATGCCCATTCAAGCTGCTTTGATTTGGTGGCCTTTCTGGATGCCTTGGGATACCCAGGGATGCATCAGTTCACAGAAGGATATTTTGAAATCTATCAGTTTATATAATGGAAAAACAGTGTGAGGACAGGTGAGCTCTTACCCTCTCCACAGTGATACTGAAATAATTCAGATGGAAGCCTATCGGAGTCAAGTGGTTGAACACCTGCTGAAAGAAAGTCTAATTACATTGTCTTCAAAAGCAAAATAAACCCTGTTATTACTTCTATGTGAAAGATTTATCAGGCTCCCTAGTGGCTTGGGAGATTCCTAGAGAAACGTGTAGGGCGCGTGTGCAGCAAGGGCTGGCAGCTCTCTGCAGAAGAGGGAGCTGGGACTGAGGGTGACAGCACATGCAGCTTGGGCGGAGACACCCAACAGCAGCCCAGTCCCACTGCACCCAAGTGTGACAGGTCCAGTGATGGAAACCAGGGGCAGCCAGGATCCCAGGCAAGTTCATGGTGGTTAGGCAGGTTTGAGGGCAAGCCAGGAAGTTTGTCTGTGGGTTGTGGCTGGGGTACAGATCCACATGACCTGAAAATGAGAGCCCAGCCTAAATGCAACTGTGACATGGAAGGAGGGAAGCCACTACTGATCCTTGTGAGATCTTTGCAGCAAGCTGAACCACGGTTACGTACCTGCGGCACAACAGGTTGCTGCCACTGAGTGTAAGCAGCCCAGCTCTGGGATGGAGGGAGCAGTAAGCTCCAGGCCTGGGTGGTATTTTGCTTTAACAAGGCCAATATGACCACTTCTGTGAATAATCAGTTGCAGTGCTGTGTCTATAGTTTGCATAATTTGAGCAGTGAAAGGAAGGGATGTATGGAAGTGGTACACCTGAAAGAACAAATACAAGCAGTTCAAGTCATGACAACATGCAGTTATCCTATTGAGTACTTACAGCAGAAGCATAATTACAAGTCAGACAATGCTAATGGTTCTGTAGTGTCATCTGAATGCAGAATTTAACTCTTACACAAGGAGGCAAAGCAAACATGGTACTAGAAGTCTTTGCAGTGCTTTAAGACAACATAAATCTTCAAAAATAAAAACGAGTTTGAATGAATCTTACGCCTCAGTAATTTACTGGCATACTAACTCAATCTGTGGCTCTGATTTCAAGACAGTTTGAGCTGATGTAACAGATCATTACTATTGAAATGGGAGACCCCATCCCATCCCTGCCTTTGTCCAGCCACCTGGTTCTGCTTCTTCCATTGCCCTTTTCCCACGTTACACACTTCTGTGCACACACCAATTCACTAAAAAAAAAACCCAGAAAACTGACTAAGAGGGGAAGAGGTTAGAGTGTCAGGCTGAAATTGTATAGTTTCTGCTGGGTCAGTCATTTGAATCAGCAAGCTGCAGTCCAAATCCTGGGGGATTCAGAGCCAGGGGTTTGTGACAACAGGAGGAAGAGCAAGAGCTCTCCATTTCGGCAAGTCATTGAGTCGCTTCTGCCTTTGGTGAAATCATGTTCTCTGAGACTGAAGGTCAGGATGGCATGGAAAGCAATGAGAAAAACCTCAGCTTTGCTCGAGTTGGTCGGAGTTTCTTTATTGGTTTCAGTGAGGCTACGGTGTCTCCATTTGTATTTGTTTAAAGCAAAAATATCTAAGATCAGCTTCTAATTAATTGGCATGTTATGAATGCAGTACTTAGACAAGTAAATAAATTTAATGCATTCTGATTTGATTTGTACTATGAGGACTGGGGCCAGGAAAACTTAAAACCATAAAGAATCTGTTCCTTTTCTGGTGTAAAATGCAAAAACACCTTTTGAAATATGTTTTGTCTTACTATAGCTTTGTAAAATGTTAAATTTGCTGAAATACTCAGACTTCATTTGAGTGGTTAATAGCTAGGAAAAGTGCAGTTATGTTAGCTCTGTTTGTAGCAGCAATACATATATGAAGTGTTTAGTATACTTTCCTCACAAGACATTCAGGAATAGGGTGGCTTTGAACCTAGACAGGTAAGATGGTTTAATTGTTCCGGTTTTTATATTAAATATTCCTCTGGTTTTCCTGTATCACATAATGATGTTTGAGCAGTAGATGAGAGGGAAAAGATCTGAAACTGCTTTCCCTTCAAAACCGAAGAAATAGGTTTTCATGATTTTTCCAGCAGAAAATTAAATGTACAAAGACAGCAGTAAGTAAGCATGAGAGTAATAGTGTCCAGCTCTCCTCTGATGGTGTATGAAAATAATGCAGCACTGGGGTTTGTTGTTTTTTTTTTTTCCATTTTGTTTTTTTAAAGTACATATGGTAGAAGACATTTGCACAAACCCCGTATGTTCAGCAAATACAGCAACTTTGTATAGTTAAGAAGTGGGAGAGTAAGAGTACATCTCACTTTCACCCAGAACTTCTGGTGACTCTGTTGGGCTTTGTGGGATAATTTCTGCCACCTTACTACAGATCTCTCAGAGAGTTTCTGAGCTATTAGACCAGGATGACAGATGTAACAGTCCATGTCCTGCTCCACACAATATAGTTGTTTCTCTAATCAGGGAAAACCAGAGTCCCTTTTCTCTTGTACAAATCATGGCCTTCCCATTCCTGCCTTGAACAGCTGTGATTCAAGGGGATTAATTTAATTTCACTTTCACTGCCATGATAAACTTTATGCAACATCACTGATGACTGGTTGCAGTCAGAATTTATTCAGCACTCACAGATTCTTCCTGCAAAGCTGTGACATTACCTTGCTAATGATTTTGCCAAAATGTGTTGCTGTTAGAAAGCTGAAACTGGAAAAACTGCAGTAGATGATGATAATCACAGTAATGATCGCATCCTCCAGACTCCTGCTTAAGGAAAGGGGCTTGGCAGAGTGTCTTCTGATGTGATCCAAGTGAAAGTGAGGCAAGGCTGTGTTTGTGTTAGGTCACTCATATCAATCTGTTTGTATGAGGGACCTCAATGGTTGGTGCTGGCAAAATTGTTTTACTTAAGTTTATCTGAGTTTATGTAAATTTCAAGAGTTTGAAGGTACTCTGAGTAAAAGAGAAAAGAATCTACAAGAGGAGATAATGGTTCTGAGGACAGTGCATCAAGGAAGGAAGTAACAAATGAAGCTGCCAGGTACTAATAAAAAGATTCTTTTACTTGCAGAAGGATTGGGGTGAACAATTGGGGCACCTTATTTGTATTGTCACATAGAACTTTGAACAACAGATGACCTCAGAGGAGGACTGGGATTCCTCTCTGCTGTCCCCTCTTGAGAGGGACGGTGTGATAGAGTAAGCAACGTGTTTCACTATAGGTCCAAAGGAATGAGTTTAGCGCTTGTTTCATCATCCTGTGAATCACAATCACAAATGGTTATCTGATTATTTGGATACTATCTGTGTCACTCTGTGCACTACTGACTACAGATGTTGCTTTCTTATAATTTGCACATATTGTGCAAGGTTATTTTGGGGGACATTCAGTACAGGAGAGAACAAGTCATGTTCTTTAAATTTTTGTAATCATTCTGATTATGATAAAATGTAGAGCAGCTTGAGGACATATTTCTTCTGTAATTATACAAGCAGCATGCAAAACTGGTGAAGTTATAAGGGAGATGCTTAATGGGGCAGCTGTCCCGTCCCTCCTTCTCCAGTGGCTTAAAACAGCAGGAATAGGGATAAAGGAATTGGTACCCTGGGTCTAAATTGGTATATTCATCCAGATGCTTGGAAATGTATGTCAGAGAGCAGTGAGACGAGGACACTTTTGCTTTATCCCCTGATGAAGGAGAACTCTCTTCAGGCCAAGCACATGCAAGTCCCTCTGAGTGAGTCTAAATGGACCTGCTTTCTGGGCTAGTACAGCTGTTTTTCTGTGGTCCTTCACATAACAGTGGCAGTCATTTGTTGAATTTTAAATATTTGCAGTTGGTTCTTTGCTATGCACTTACTGGATCTGTATAGATAAACCTGTTGATGGTTTGTGCAACTAACCTTTTTTTTTTCATGGATACTTTAACAGTTATGAAGTTACAGGTACAAGTAAAACATGCAAAGTACATGCACTCGCAATTACAGTCCTGTCTTAGGAAAAAGAAGTGAAAAATTCTCCTGTTAAATACCTTCAAATCATGTTTCCATACAGATTTCAATGAAGCAGTACCAGAAACGGAGAGACTGGACTCCAAAGCTCTGAAGACTCGAGCTCAGCTTTCAGTGAAGAACAAGCGGCAGAGGCCTTCTAGAACAAGGCTGTATGACAGCATCAGTTCAACTGATGGAGAGGACAGCCTTGAACGAAAGGTGAGAAGGACTCTACCCTCTCTTTCAGGCTTCCAATGGAGAGCTAGACTGCCCCTGTAAGTCATTTCATCATCTGTCTGTCCTTTCATTGTAGCACAGGCAGTATGTATTTCTCTGTGGCGAGTATGCTATGAATGTCCTTGAGTCATGTGCGAGTCCAGTCTCCTTTGAGTCAGCACACCTGGTGTTTTGGTTTTATTGTATTTCTTTTTTTAACAGGAATCCTGGGCTCTCTGATTTATGTGTGCTTTATAATGCAGAGTGGGTCCTTTCATTTACACAGAAGGTGAAAGGAACTTGAATTGTGCATTTCTCTGTTAATTTGTTAACACAATCGATATGATATTCACTCGTTGTTTTGTCCTATTCTGAATTAAATCTGAAAGCAAATGCCAATAAACAACACTGTGTGTGATATCAAAAGGTAATGGCATGAACTGCTAAAGCGTTTCTTACAAATAGAAGGCTAAACAATTAATAAAAGAATTGCATGTTCAAAGTAAACCTTGATCTGATTGGTTACTAAATGGTATAACCTGCTTTATAATCTCTTATACCAACAGCCATCAAACAGTTACAGTAGTCCCATGCACATTTCAAAATCACCACTGCCCTTATGCATGAGAGCATCCTCACCAGCATCAGATTCTGGTGCTTCCTCCCTCTCCCCCGTGGCTAGCAGTGCAGCAATCTCACTTGACAACCTAACTGAGAACCAAGAAGAAGGACAGCACTACAAAGGAGGTGTCCTTTCCCTGCATGCTCGGGGAGACACTCCACTTTCCTCTCCTTCAAAATCTGGGCACAGCTCTGAAGCATCTCCTTTGCATCACCCAGCTGGCAGGAATATTTTACAGGATAAAGGTATTACTATTTTTTACAATAAATTGATGCATCATTTTGCTCACTTACATCTACTTTATGAACTTTTGTTGTGTAGAAGGACCTTAGCAACTAGAAGGCCATCATATCATAACTTCTTTTGTCTACCTGGAAGTAAAATATTACAAATGATTTTGTATGATGGTATAAGAAAAGAACAAAGTTTAAAATGAGATCTGGAACTGCTTCCTTTCTTTTTTTTTCTTTCTTAGAACTCACTGAAAAAGCTAGGGGGAAGTTGCCTTTAAGAAAATCTTGTATTTTGTTTTAAAAAACCAAAACTATTGGACCTTGGGACATTTCTGTATTAGAAGAAACATGTTTAGCACAGTGTACTTACTTGAATTATGTGATTTTGGCACTGCTAGGTGCTTTTTTTGGAGGGTGGGGAAGGGAGTGTAAAGCAAGAATAACAGATTTTAGCTTTTCATTTCTGAGAGGCACCATTGTCTGGATTAAACAAGAGGTTAATGTCTGGAGACTCTTCATTTACAGAAAAAAGAAATCAAGTAATTTGTTGGGGAGGTTGGCTACACTATTATTTATTTAATTTAGCTTCTTTAAATGTAAGCTGGATAAAACATGATGCAATCATACCTGGTTAAGGTACATTCAGCATTCCTAGCTATGCACCTTGCATTCTCTGTCACATAAGCTAAAATACATGATAAAACGCATAGTTCACCCTGAGTGTATGATTGGTTTATCAATGAAGTTATAAATCCTGCATTTCCAACTGATGTATGAAAAATATTTTGATAAAGATTTAGAGGATACTAGCCTTATAGTGTAAGGAATAGGGTATTATATTCCACCCACTGGGTCGCTCCTTCCAATTCAGGTTTGAAAAATAATCTCTGTCTAAATATTGGTGTCATGCTTTCCCCACTGTGATCATTAAGTAAACAACCAATGGTTTCAAATGTATCCAGATTCTTATGAGTACATGAGAGTTAAACCAGAGCAATTTTGTTTCAAGTGGAAAATTTGCATTTAATAAGTCCTACAAAGTAGAAAGATCCTAAAACAGTTGTTTGGCAACACATGTTGTAATGATACTATTTTAATTGATTATTAATTTGGCTGTCAAACTCCTACAGGTCAGGAAATAGAAAGGGCAATTGTATTTGTTCTGTGTGTTCAGGTAGGGTTTTTTTAGAGATGGAAAGAGAGCACATCTGTGGATATATGTCCATTGAATAATCTCTCATTAGCAAAAGTGAGTGTTGGCAAGCTCCACTCGTCTTTTATTTTTCTTATGAGATCCTGCAGTGTTGTGGGAAGAGCTGAAATAGCATGAGATCAGTTTCATTGCAAAACAATAAGAAATTTTGCTTGTTCATCTTTTAAGCACAACTTTTTCATCTATGTGTATGACTAATTTATTTTCTTCAGTTCTGCCTGTTTTGTGCAACAGCATCCTTTGACAAGGCAGCTGAGATGACCCCTGTGAGCAATACTCTGCTGATGTGACCTGGCTACAACTGTTTTGTGACCTTGGGAAAGAAAGTTAGGTCTAGTCTCCTTTCATATCCATCAGCGCTAGATTATTTACACCAGCTCCTTGAGGCTGAAAGTGATGGATTAAACAGCTTCTGTGTGATTTATTCTGAGGAACCGTCTCTCCCTCATTCTCTCTGAAGAACTACAAGGACTTAGGGAAGATGTGCCCATCCAGGGTGGTCAAAGTCCCCTACTGCCTGGGCAGGTCGCCTGCAGCCCTGGTTAGTGGCCCCTGCCATGTGCCAAGCGCTGCGTACCTCCAGGCGTGCAAGACCCTGTAGATTCAAATCTACTCTGCTACTGCAGCTGGTTTTGGGACTTAGCCCATCCGTCTTCCACTGTATCCCATAGCCAGCATGAATGTTTTCCCCGGAAAATTGTCATTATTCAGAGTGCCTTGGCTGAGCCAAGGTGCATGTGAGTGGGTGCATAGTGACACAAGAACCCAAACAGAAATTTGCCATACCAGGTGGCTGCTACATATGGCTGAGCTCTCCAGATTATTTCTTTTACAACAGCAGCAAAACCTCCAGCTACTAAGTGCTTTCATTATTTGCCCACCAACAAAGCAGCAAACCTTATAGTTTCATTTACTGTCATTAAGAAGTTTCTCAAAAAAGCCCACTGCCCACTAACCCTCAATCCTCACTTACCTGTGTATAGCTATAGTGAAAATAAACATTACAACTTCTGTTCTTGAAAGTGGCAATTTTGACAGCGGTTAAATGAGAAGTACGCATTAAAAGTGAAAGAGAAACCATAAGAGGAGACAGGAGAAGAGTGTGCAGAGTGTAGGGTTGATGCAAAGTGTGCATCACCCTGAGATGACTTATTAAATTGATGTTGATTAACTGATTAGCTGATTAAATTGATGTCTTAAGTTAAGGACTTATTAAAGAACCTAAAGTTCTCCCCATTCCTTCTCTGGGGAATTAATTTCTTCTCAGGAGGCTTTGCCTTGCTTTTGTCATGCTTCATGTTACTTTTGTTTGGTTAGTTTTTTTGGCATGAGGTTACTTGTGAGTTGTTCTTAAATGTTTGGTTTTGATTTTTTTTTTTAACATAAGGACTTATGTTGGTAGAAATAGTATGGCTTTTAGACTGTGGGCATTGCAAGAGGCTTATTTTCCTGCTTTTCCCATGATCTGTGAACCAGCTGTGCATTGAATTTGTTACTTGAATGGAAACTTGGCCAAGTGTTATCCACAGAGCAATGTACAAAGTTCTATACACACGGCCAACTGTCCTGTGGTAGATCTGTGGTATTTTGGGTTAATTCTGAGGGCTTGATTTATATCAGCTCTGGTAGGAGAGATCCACAAACGCAGAAGTGTTTTCAGTTAAAAGTTACTGTACGTCTGCGGTCACACTCTAAAAGTCACCAAACCGCAAGTGACATGACTGACTGACCTTCAGTTGCTTTCTCTAGAGTATTTGGGGACACTCTTTATGTTTAACAATCACAGAAACTGAATTTTTCAACTGCTGTGTGGGTTTTTTTAACATCCATATAGATTTTACAGGATGTTTTGCAGACTCAGATTCATTGTTTTGGCTTTATAGGTACATCAGGCTGTTTTCTCTTTCGGCTTTAACAGTGTTTGTAAAAGAGATCAAAAACTGGTAGATGTCTCAGGGCAAATTTATTAACTAAGATATTTTTAACTCTTTTTTTAATTCAGAATGGTTGGAATTGAAGCTAAATGTTTTATTTTAACAAAAATGTTCAAGCTAAAGAGATAACATGTCCATCATAAAAGGTACTCTTGGCTCCAAAGTTCAAGAAAGCATTTCAGGAGTCAATTTGGAAGTAAAACATACATACCAAATGAATTCTGTAAAAGAAAACTTAAGCAGCTACTGCTGAGTTTAAAAATGGATTCACTGAAATGTTTACATGTAAATCTTTGTGTTATTTGCCTTACTACATAGCATTAAAACTCAACCAAAATGAACTTTCCATTTTCTTCAATTAAAATAATATTCCTGTGTATTTTCAAATTCTGAAAGTATTTATTTATTTTTATTCCTCTTCACACCATCTTCTTAAAACTGAGAAGAATTCACCTAAATTGTGTACTCACACACATGTACATGTATGTATATCTAATTATGAAAAGATACACAAACTGTTCTGGATGGAAAGTGGAATATCTATAAGTAGCAATTAAAAATAATAATGTACATTCTTCCGTGTACAAATGTATCCTAGATGGTGCCGCATGTGCTCAGGCAGCAAGAACAACTAGCCCTACTATAGGGCATACAGAAAAACTAAAGCGAAAACTTGCAGATCTTGGGTAAGCATTTTGTTATTTAAAATAATTTTTTTTTTTTCATTAAAAGGATTAAAAGTAAAATTTCAAAGCTGTTTCCTGATGTTTTCTAATATTCTTATAGGGCTCCCTTGAGAAGGAGTTCAAACAAGGGCAAGAAGCGGAAAGAGAAAGAAGCTCTTAGGGTGACCTATGGCAGTAGGTATGGGTGAAAGATTGAGGATGTGCCAGAAATTATATGCCAGAAATACTGGAAAAACCTCATCATCCTAGCAGATGGGAACATTAACAGTCCCACTGTTATAAATGTTAAGCTTTGAGATAACCTTCTGATCTTACAAACCTGGATTTCTTAACTAAAGACTAACATCTGATCTAAAAATACATGGAGGCTTACAATGTCATGGCATCACTACTACTGTTGCATCCACTAATAGGATTTGAACAAATAGGTTATCAGATTTGGCCTACAAGATGCACACACAGTCAGTTAATAATACCCATGAACCAGAAATCTTGACACAATTCCACATATTCCACTTTAAAGGGGGCCTACAGAAAGATGGGGAGGGACTCTTTATCAGGGATTATAGTGATAGGATGAGGGGTAACAGTTTTGAACTGAAAGAGAGTAGATTTAGATTAGATTTAAGGAAGAAATTATTTACTGTGAGGGTGGCAAGACACTGGCACAGGTTTCCCAGAGAAGCTGTGGCTGCCCCCTCCCTGGCAGTGTTCAAGGCCAGGTTGGACGGGGCTTTGAGCAACCTGGTCTAGTGGAAGGTGTCCCTGCCCATGGCAGGGGGGTTGGAACTAGGTGATCTTTAAAGTCCCTTCCAACCCAAACCATTCTATGATTTTATGATATTTTTTTGAAAAAACCCTCAAAGAGAGGATGGGCGGGCAACAGTTGTTCACTGCAGCTTCATGGCATCCACATCAGGAATGCTTTCAGAAGGTTTTGTTTCTGAAGATGAACATCATAAGTTGAAAATAGATAAGGAAAAATGCTGGCTGCATTTGTCACATCACCAGCTCTCAGGGAAGGAATTGTAAATTCCTTGTGAGATCTGATGGGACCACATCACCAGCATCTGAACTCTGAATAAATGAATGTTCAAAATGGCAGGAAGCAATCTTTCCTGCAAAAATGTAGATTTTTACTGAAGGTCTCTCCTCATGTGTCGGACCTCACGTACTGAGTCTGACAAGATCACAGCTACAAGGGGTGATACCTAGTTCCAGGTATGAAAGGCAAGTTAATGTCAGGAGTGCTAAGCAATCTTAATACGTTCTAAAAGTCTAGAAAGGACATAGCAACTCAAAAACTCTCTGCATTTAAAACAATGCAAAAGAACACCTACATGATAAAAGAGCTATCAGAAGAAAGCAAACTTTGAATGCTACTCAGAAAATCATTGTGGTAGAAAACCAGTATGTTGCCATTTGTGTTTTGCTTACAGTCTATTATGGAGACCCAGTGACAAGTATATTGTGTAACTCCATAAAATCAGAGAAACAAAAGAAAACTCAGACTTCTTACTTACTCCCTCAGTCACACTGTACTGAAGTGCAGTGTTCTGTCTCAGCATCCGTTTGTACATTTGTGTCCTGCAAGTATCTTCAGTGATCTTAGGCAGTCGTCATCGCCTCTGCACTGGTGTCAGAAAACCTTTTCCAGTCGGTTCCACTGACCTGTCTGCTTGCAGTGTGACCTGGAGTTAGTGATATTCACTGCTGTAAGGCAGTTTAAACATCATGTAGCATTTAAGTACCAAGCCACAGGGTAGGGGAAATGAATGTATACTTGTCTGGAAGAACTTGTATACCAGCATAGTATGTTACAGACATTTGTGAAATCCCATAGGTATCTTCCTTTAGAGAAAGCAGATCTCAGCGTAGAGATATCAGTTGTTTATTAGACCATTTGATAAATCAGTTATTTGTATTATTTGTTAATATTTCTGAGTTCAGATACTGTTACTAAAAGCAAAGTTTGATACTGCTTTCAAAGTCAGAATTCCTAAGTGTTTGTATTTCTCACTGTGCTTCTGTTAACTGTATTATTTCATCATAACTTTTTTAACACCTGTTGTCACTTCCTTTGTTACTAACACCAAAGAATTTGCCTCAGAAGAAATGTTTTCTCTATAGTCCAAAGCTGTATAAGCTCTTTGAAAGAAGGAAGATGATGATCAAAAGATCTTGTTATAATTATGTCCATTAGAGCAACTACTTGATGTAGAATTAATCACACTGTCACATGGATGTTGCATGCATTATTTTCCCCTTGCCAAAAATTTGCACCCAGGATGTGTAAATAAAATCCAGAATTATTTCCTAAGACTTCCACTAATGTTACATGTATAAAAGATTTCCCATTTAAGTAAGAAGCATATATTCCCCTGCCTGAAGCTGGGTGATTTGGGCAACATAATTTTGTTTTTCGTTCTGCTTTCAAGCATGATTAGAGGATGAGAGTAGTACAGGACTGAATCAAATACATCTACCTTTCTTTATCTAGCTAAAGGGAGAGAGGATTCTTCTTCTGCTTCCATGGGTGGGGGACCTTTGACAAACTCAGTTTCATCCATACAGAAAAGAGGCTTCACAATATACAAAGCTCTAGTCATTATGTTAATAATTTAGAAGCTATCCAGAAGGTAGATGTTGAGGCGAGGGAGATTTACATATGTACAATTTACTGGTGGCTTCTAAGAGCAGTAAGTTTAATGATCTGAAACTTTTACTTTACATTGATATAAATAATACGAGAATATGACAGATGCATTAAGTTCTCTGAGGCAGACACTTTGCATAGTTATTTTTAATTTACATACTGTTCTGTTGACATATTTAGCAAATAATTTAGGCATTTTATAACTGTTACCTTCGCCGTGATTGCAATCTTTGTTACTAGAAAGAGAGAAGATGATAATATCACTTTGGTGTTTCTTTCCTTTTCCTATATTAATATTTTTTGTATTTAATAACTTTAAAATCAATATAATATTACTCTATCAGTATTTAGCTGTTTTAACAAAGTCACATCTCCATAGATGGCTACAGAGAGACCTGATTCATTCTGCCGGTGCTCAAAATCCAAGCCAGAGCTTCTCTGGGAACCAGAGCCCACTTGGATCAGTGCTGAGTCTAATCTATTTAATCATGCTGAGATACCACTGGGGCTCAGAAATGCACCAACACATGTGGCTTCTTGACTGGAGCTGGTTCACATCCAAACGGTGGGAGTACAGGCATTTTCAGATGGCCACTGTCTCTGGGTCTGTGTTGTCTAAGAGAGCTTGAGTTAGAAAAAGAATCAAAAGAACTTACTTCTTCTTTGGCTGAGGAAGATTTCAGGCATGTCCCTACCAGCTGCGTGCCACTCGGTTCTTTACACAGTTACAGGGAATGTCACTTTCAAAATTAACTGCCTCTGTAGCATTTTGTTTTCTCTCATTTTATAATCTAACACATATTCCTGCTCCTTTCTCTTAAACAGGACTACCAGAGAGCTTCTGCAGAAATCAGCAAACACTAAATCTTTAGCAGAGCGATCCTCCTCTCTCCCACATTGTGTACCATTCACATGGTATGGAGAGAGTGGCAAGGGATCCAATTCTTCTAGCAACCTGCCATCACCTACAAGCTCAACTGAACCTTCCTCTGAAAATATAAGTCCAGCTAAAAAAGGGTCAAAGGTAGAAACTAAAAACTACCTTATTCCCACTGTGTTGAGTGGCATAATTGGCTTCATGTTTCTGGAAAAAGAACAGGCCAATATGTGACTACTACAATAAACAGTGCATGGTGTTCATTGTACGGTAAAAGTTCATTCAAACAGAACATCTCTGTCATTGTACCATTCCACATTCTACCTTTTTACTCTGTCTTAATGTACATTAATTCAGTAAACTAACTGTGGTGTGCTGTACCATAACAAAAGCAAGTGGTGCCAGTGGAAATTAGCATTTGGATCCACTGAACAAATGCTAGATTTGTGTATTCAATTGTAGATATTTTCTGCATTCTTCAGGACTGATTGTGGGAATACCTACCCATGTTCAAATGAGGTGTTTGCAAGTGAAGAAATGCTGTATGCCGTCAGTCATCTGCCTTTTTTCCCCCAATAATGAAATCTGTTTGTCATGCATGCTGGATGTTGAATTAATTCTCTATATGAAAATGCTTGAACTGTAAATATGAACTATTGTAATTTAATACATCTGTGTGATTCCTTTCTATGTGCATGAATGTTTCAGCATGATAACTCCTTAAATAACCCTTAGTTCTAGCAATATACTTAAGTTTTTCATGTTTATTTTCACTTCTGGAAAATATTTCTCTGCCTGTATCTTCTTATAACTTGTAGCAGTTGACTTTTTATATTGACCTGTTAAAAAGAAACAGATATGGTTCTCAACTTTATGTACAGGAATATGAATCTAATTTCTCTGTCTTCTACAAACGCATACATGTACATAATAGCAGTTTCCACAGGTATTTCTTACTCTTTTGGTGCCAAAAGCTGGTGATACCTTACTTCTGCTGTGCACCAAGCTATGCAAGGTCATAGCTGTGCTTGTGTTACCTGGTAGCGAGAGCAGCACAAGGCTGACCAGTCCAAATCAGATTTGATAGACAAGACCACAGATGGAATCTCTAAAGATTAAAGAGAAACTGATCAGTTGCCCAGTTTGTTTTGAAAAAGATAGATTAGGATTAGACATGTAAATCCTATTTGTCCCTTTAAACAAGTATTGTATAAAAATATTTTTCAGATGGGGTAAAAAGCACCTCCTTTTTACAGTTAGTATTAGGTTGAGGTTTTGGGGGGTGTTTTTTCCTGCTAACATAATTATTAGCAGGCCTTGGCTACCTTATATTTTCCAATAGAAGATTAAATTGTAAAGACTTAATTTCATTGTAAGGCTGAAGTTTGCACAAAATAGAGCTGAAATTAAAGTCAGAGTGCTTAAAAAAGAAAAAAATGTTCTTCACACAACAGGAGGTAGAGCTGTTGAACTCCTGGCCTAAGAACATTGTGGGGGCTAAAAGTTTGTGTATTAAGGAAGCTGCTTGGATTTTCTTCTCTGTAAAGAGTTGAGAAAAACAGAACAGGAATTCTAAACGTAGGTGTGAGAAAACTGATCACAAAAACATTTTGATATTCTCTGCAAAGTTTGCAGGCTCTTAAACTAACAGTTTCTACACTGCTATTCAGGTTTTTAAAGCAGAGCATGATACCAATATTTAGTTGGATTTCCAGCAAAACACTTGATATTTTTGGAATACTTTTTCTTTGCAGAAAAGATGGGTCAAATACCTTTCAGGGGGATAAAAGGATAACTTTTTTTGTGTTGTTTTTCATTTTGATGTTTGGATCAATTTTTTAAATTGAATATCAAAAGTGAATTGAATTTGATACTCATTTAGATGTTAGAGTAGAGATTAGAGGTCTCCATATCATCAACTGTATATTCAAGCTAAATGGAGTATCATGGTGTCCTTAATTTTTTATAGATTTTGGTTTTTTATGGTTCTCACTTTTAATGTGAAATACTTGTTGATTTTTGTTTTCTGATGGTAATTTTGCTGTATTCCTGGGAAGTATGTGCATGCTTTTACTATTTTTTGCTGTAGGGTGTGATGTTTGTCATTGCATTGTTAAGAAAAACCAGTATTTGTTTTATGGTTATTAGTTCAGTAAATAACATTCAAAATCCAAAAATCTCTTTTACTTTCAGTTTTTTTCTAAAGGTGTAGGCAAAAAGGGAGGATCCTTTCACTTTTATAGGAGATTATTTGGGACTCAGAAGTGGATTCACAGGATATTCTCCTTGCTCTTTCAATAGCAGTTTTCACTTCTCTCTGCTAATTAATCCTCTGTCCTATTCTTTGTGCAACTGCCTGTGCTTTGCTGGTCCTAAATATTTGGAGGACAGTAGAATGCTAGTGATTAACCCACAGAAGCAGTAATTTAGCTCCAGGATGAGAGACAGAATCTTAAGAGGGAGTCTGGAAGTTGCTTTCAGACCCCTTCTATTCATTGAGGAATTAAGCTGGCAAAGGTGTCTCTTGAAGTACACAGTGGTAAAAATCCTGTGTATTCTATAATTATTAACAGTACTAAAAACTAGGCTTCCTCGTGTATTGTAACTGTTTTGGTAAATGATTGAGATCATTCCTGAACTATGCCAACCTGGAAGACAGAAAGCACGTTTCCCTTTTAGATGCATGTATAATATAGTTTGTTCATTCTAACTCCCCTTTTTCTCCACAGAATTTCACATTCAACGATGATTTCAGTCCCAGCAGCACAAGTTCAGCTGATTTGAGTGGTTTGGGAGCAGAACCTAAAACGCCAGGTTTCTCACACTCCTTAGCACTGTCGTCAGATGAGGTATGCTGATGAAATTGTTTAAGGTGGGAAATTGTTGTCTTTCTCCCATGCTATTTTACTTGATAATTATTTCAGTAATAAAGAGATACATTTAGGCAGTAGAAGGAGAGAAGAAAATTAATCTTGGTTTTGAGATTATTATTTTTCTTGTTCTTATAGTAATGACTTGAAATAAAGGTCCTATGGTATTATGGTAGGAAAGTAGAATGCAGTTGGTTTTCTAAGAGATGCTATATCCTCACATATTTCAATACATTTTCCTACATTGTAAATATGTATATGTGGACCCATAGATACATATACATACACTAAACTAGACATAATTAAGACAATTTTGAGATAATAAACAGGCAACATGGTTTGGTAAATATAGTTGAGATATAAGGCACCTTCACCTAGACTAATTTTTACCCCGGTACATTAAAATAATAATGACCTGTACATGCACTAGTTGTGTGTTACTGTACTTGAATGTATGTATATTGATTAGCACATATTTGTGTTAATCCAGTTTGCATTCTTTGTGCTTGCTTTGCACAGTGGATTTGAATTCAGTTACTTCAAACCAGAGTTTTTTCGAACAATGCTAATGTGAAAAAGCGTTCCTAACCCTGTAAATTGGTGACACAATTGAGCAGAACATAAGATGCTGAAAATACTTAAGATACTAATTTTGTAACTCAGTTGTCAGTGAATTTGCACAATTTGGCAGTAACTGACAATGGGTCCTGTGGACTCAATAAACCTGTGCCTTTGTGCTTTTATAAACACTCTGTAAGAACTTCACATTTTTTGTATGAGGTTTGAGCCAGGGTTTTTTTTTCTAGAAGAGGAGGAACTTGAAGTATCTATGTCTTTTTTTTTTTCATGATGGTTAGGTTTGTTCTGTTACTGCTTGCATGCTTTGCATGGGTTTAAAGAATGAGAGCTGTTCCATGCAACCCTGTTTGCCAAAATGCAAGTCTACAAACCCAACTGTTCTTTAGAGGTTACTTACTGCAGGCAATAAAGGGCAAAAAGTTGTGTTGTAGGAGAGTGCAGACAGGTCTGTATATCCTATGAATTCCTGAAAACAACAAAGTAATCATTGACACTTTATTTAGTATTACTACTATCTTGATAATACATTCCATTCACTTACCATGTTTCACTCCCCTTATATTATGTATTTTATTGTGACAATGCCCTGTTCCCAGTGTTCTTGAAGTAGAAGCTTGAAAATGCTTTCATTTTGCTTGTTCAGCTCTCTATCACTTCTAAAATACCAAGCCTGAACAGGTCTATAAAAATGAATGTGTTTAACCATCCTCTGCTGTGTGCCAAATTGCAGCCTCCAAATCAGGCAGTGTGTTCAGCAAAAGCTGCAGTGGAAACCTCCGCAACCACCCTGGCAGGGGATTAGGCCAGCACAGCTCTTCAGCCCTTCATAGCATATTGCTGCAAGAGCTCCTTTGCTCAGGCTTTTCTGGCAGATCTGACATGGTTATTTGAAAGAGATGATAAAAATGAAAGGGTGGGGAGGTAACCCAGTTCTTGCAGGTTGTTCTTCTTTAATTGAGGAGCTTTTGCTCTTGGCATTGGAGCCATCAGGAAGGTTCCCACTGGTTCTAGGGTGTCAAGACCAGGAACTCCAAGGGGGTTTCATTGACACAGTCTCAGGTTTAGCTGCCAAATCATGTGTGTGTTGAGCTTTCAACATAACCTCTCTGCTTCTGGAAATAATTTTTTTTAAAGAAATCTCTTTGGTTTTGAGTAGCCATATCTGTTTGCAAATCTTGGTGCTGCCCTTGCCTGAACTTTTACATGCTGTTACATGTTCTGTATTTTGTTTCTATAATGCTTTTCTTTCCCATTTCTTTGTTGCTCCCTCACTCAGAGCCTGGATATGATTGATGATGAGGTGAGATACTAGTGTGCTGTTGTGGTGAATTGTGTGACCATCGCGTGGCAATGTGTCGTCTCATTTGCAGATTCACATTTCTTGTTTTATGGTGTTGTGTGGCAAACCCCCTTGTTCGAGCAGAACATACAGATGTCACTGGCTCCTCTCTCCTTCTCTTGAGCTCCCCTCTCCTTTCTGCTAAGAGTTTTCAAGGCCATAACAAATTGCAGTTTTTGCAGTATGCTGGAAGGAGGAGGAGGGTCAGTGTCAGAGCAAATCCACCAGGCCAAGCATGAGCGGCCCTGAGCTCCTGCTGGTGATAGGAGAAGAAAAAGATAGGGCTTAAATCATCTTTTTCCCAGCCCTGAGAACTGGACAGCCGAAAGCTGAGAGCTCCCAGAATCATCTAACCCAGTGTAAAAGCTGCTGTAACAGCAGACAGCTGCTGCAGCCTGTAGCAGCTGCTTTGCTGACCACTGCTGGGGCAGAGTAGCTTTTGTTCCAGGCCCCAGTGGCATACCCCTGGCTGGAATAAGGTGGCAGAGCAGGGATATGGAGCTGCTCCAGCAGCTGATGCCCCACCTGCCCCTCCAGGTGCTGTGTTTGTGCTCTCCACAGCAGCAGCAGCAGCACAACATGAAGGATCAGGGCTGTGGGATAGCTGTGTGTTCCTTACCACTCCTCTGTGTCATCTCATAGTCTTCCATAGATAGTATCCGTTTCACTGTTCACAGCTGTTTGATGTCATCACTTTGAACTTTAGAGTGGTTTTCTGAAGGGGTCTTCTTCCTCAAATTTCTTGTTTTATAGCTTAAACACATCATAAAGATCTGTGACTGAGCCCAGGAAGTGGAATGCAGAATTCATTGAATCCTTTACAAACATTCTAATTTGAAGGATAGAAATCTTGCAAGGGAGTGGGAGCATATCTGTTTTGAATTGTGCCACCTGGCCATTTCAGTTCCTGTTTGGGTTAAAAGGAATGCTAGTTCTTTTTCTTCTTCTATTTATAGATACCAATTCTTAGATATCTGGTTAGATACAGATGTAATACAGCGGTGTGAAGTTGTTGTTATTGTAGTATAAAGATAATACAGATACTTCTGCTCTGATTCTGGTGGTTTGTACAGAAAAATGTTGTTATTCATCTGTGTTACCCTTTTAATAATAATCCAGCATGTTTTTGTCACAGATCCTTGACGATGGACAGTCTCCTAAGCACGTTCAGTGTCAGAGTCGTGCTGTTCAGGAGTGGAGCGTGCAGCAGGTTTCCCACTGGTTAATGAGCCTAAACCTTGAACAGTATGTTTCTGAATTCAGTGCCCAAAACATTAACGGGGAGCATCTCCTTCAGCTGGATGGGAGTAAGCTCAAGGTAATTAATTCACTGACTGGACTTTGAGACCAACTGTAGTATTTGGTATCACTTTAGGTAATCTTACAAGAAGTAAGAATTCAGCCAGAAAACAGTGAGCCCCTGTGTGTGTAGTGGTGATAGACTAGGATAATAAACACAGAGTATAAAGCCACAGCAACACTTTATAAGAAATTCCCATATGCACTTGGATTCAGAAGTTTCAGAAATAGAGGTCATTTGCTTTGTGCAAACTCTGAGTATATATAATGTAGCCGTATTTGCATGCTTAAATCATATAGCAGCATGGTGTTTGCATGCACGTGTTTCTCATCCAGCTCTGTTTTGTGAAAGGATGATTCAGAGGAGATAGTAAATAGACATACATCAGAAGTAGCAAGTGAAAAATAGATTAGTGGGATACTGGAGGCATAAGCTGATACCAATTGTACTATGTTAGAACTAAATATAGTTTTGATGTATAAAGTATACATTTTTCTTGTAGTGAAGATACGAGCCTACTTTTGTCAATAATAATTACAGGAAGGAGTTGTGGGAATCTCAGATCTGAAAGTCCAAGTTTGGTGTTTCCTCTCTGATTTTTTTTGCTGGTGCTTAAGTAACTCTAGGTGTTTTAGAAGAGAGCAAATGAACTTTTGACTAAGGCATAGCAGTGACAATTGGGAAGTCTTGTTCTGTGTAGACTTAGATGACTTCAGGCAAATAGTTTAATCTTTATTTGCTGCATTTGATCAATGAAATCAACATTGGTGGTGTCAATGAGACTTAGTTCTTTAATATTCTAGAAGTGGAAGGCATGGAAAGTAGTACAGAAGTGTATTACTTACACATCAGTAATGTATCTGAGTCTGTCTCAAATTTGCTTAGGTGTTACAGTCTTCTACCTAAGAAGAATTACTATTAGAATATGAAAAAACTTGTAATAGATTAAACCATATGAAATGCTTTTTCTTCTTAAATTTTGTTTTCCCCACCTCAGGCTCTTGGTATGACATCTTCCCAGGACAGAGCAATCATTAAAAAAAAGCTAAAGGAAATGAAAGCATCCTTGGAGAAAGCTCGCAAAGCTCAAGAGAAAATGGAAAAGCAAAGGGAAAAGCTTCGGAAGAAGGAACAAGAGCAACTACAGAGGAAATCGAAGAAAACAGACAAGTCTTCACCAGATGCAACAGAGGGCACTAATGAGCAGTGATCAGCAGAAGTGCTGCTGTGTTAGAAAAGTGGAGGCACTTCAAGGGAAGAGAAACTCATATCCACTGGTGCCCCTTCAGCTTTCTTGTATTCATTACACAAGAGTGTGTACAGAGAAATGGGGTTATACATAGAATGACTAGGGAAATTTATATTGTGTAGTTTTATTTTCCCGCATATCCAGTTCACGCTCGTTGCTGTTGCCATGTGAAACAACCCCAGCCCCTCGGTTTGTTTTGTTGTTGTTGACAGCTAACAGATTTCATATTTTTGTGGCAGTGTTTCCTTCCAAACTACTCTTCTCTATTGAGCTCTATGTGTTTGGTCACTTCAGTAACCAGCATGATGCTGAGGAGCATGGTCTACTGCTTCACCTCTTCTGAATAGGATGGCCAGTCAGAATGATTGGTGAACGTTTCTTCAGCTGGGTAAAAGGAGTTGTGCTCTGTCTGATAAGAGTTGACTTAATTTTCTAACTGTAAGTTCAGCTTCTTTACAGTGTTTGGGTACTCAGTTCCGTCTACTGGAGTAAATTTCATCTTGCGTCAGTACCTTGAAGCGACACTGCTCTGGAAACACAACTGTTCAGTGACTTCTTATTATACACTGGAAATAAAGACAGGAGAATTGATATTCCCCCTGGGCAAAAGACAGGAGGTGAAACTCTTTCTATTAACTGTACAGTAGTTAATCCAGGAAGGAGGCAAAGCCTTAAATGATTATGTGGGTTTACACAGAAATCTGAGGATAACATTTATCCTTTAGATATCTGAGCAAGGATGAATTTCTAACTAGAGCACAGCGTATAGATCTGTATAAATTTCATTGTGCTCCCAGTGTGTAGGCAACTTTCTTATAGCACACTCCACTTTCTTTTTCATGTGTTTTGAACAGGAAACTGGGCTTATTTTGTTTTGGGTTTGTTTTTTCCAAGAAAGACACTTCAGATTCATTCTCCAATAAGCTTTGTGCTGTGCTGTTATGAAGCTGTTGTTGGAAACGATTATCAAACTTGAGTCTGCTAAAGATTTTCAGTTTTTACAGAAGTGCACTTTAAGAAGAGGAAGACGAGGGATTCTGTTTAGAATTAGATTCAGTACATTGCTGTTAAGATCAGTGCTGCCATGGAGATTACTAAATCCAAAGCTGCCATATATTGTTTTGATTGATGTGTTTAAAGAATATCCCCACCAAAACTCGAAATTTTGGGCATAGGCTGTAGAATCTATTGATGGCTTAACAGTGGTTATATTACATCCTTCAGAGATTTCTGCTTTCCTGGTGTATGAGGCCATCAGCAAAGCCTGCTGCGTTTTGACTATGACGGAAGCACTTCATAGCTCGCACTGCATGGTGTTACTGCCTCTTAAAAGTGGTATTGAAATATTTAGTATTTCTTCAAAAGAACGGACAGACAACAGGCAAATATCCACAATTAGAAGCTAAAGGTATTAGCTTACTGTAGTCAAAGCTAACTACATAGCAGCGTTTATAATTGAGAAACATCACTTCCCTTTCCTGCATCCTGGAAGTTGCAATCTTCATCTAGTCATGCCAACCCATTAAGTTGTTTAAGATGTCGATGCAAAGTTAGAACCTTGAACATAAAAATTTGCCAGCCTAATTGCAAATAATTGAATTCTTTTGAAGAAAATGTTTGTTTTGTTTTTGCTTGGCTTCTCTTCTGCTCTGTACTTTATGTCATTCAGATTTGTGTCGGTAAAGTTCTCTGAAGCTCAGATTTGAAAACAGTTGGGGTGCAATATTTATAGTTGAATTTCTTTTGATCCTAATAATTTCTTTGACATGTAAAATGATCCATAAACTGAGTTCATTCAAAATTAATACACAACAGATCTACTTAGCATTAGCTGTATTTTTCCTTCCAAATCCAATTTATACAATTTCTGATGTATATTTTATCAGATCTAAAAATGAAATTGGTGTAAAAGATACTTCCTGGTATTTCTAAAGGCTTGTGATACTTTTCTTGAGATAGATAGACCACCAGCAAAAAAAAAATACACCTGCTAACAAGAATTCCACATTGCAGTGAATCTTTCTGTGCTCTTTGTAGGAGAAAAATTATGCAAATGTTTAACGCATCATAAAACTAGCAATTTATATTTGAGTCAGAAAAGTTACCTAGAAGAAACTGGAAATTTAATACTTTAAATACAGTGATGATAAATGCATTCCATTATGATTTTCTTTTAAAATTATGTTTACACTGTAGTAATGTTTAAGTGGTTGTATATAATAATCTCCAGTGGTATCCCTGGTTTATGTTCTTTGTTTTCTTAGAAACCTGAGCAGACTGCTTGGCTTTATACATTGAGTTTTCATTCTTTCTGCTTGGAACAGTGCCTAGTTAATCTCTTCGTAAATCAGATTCTTATTCTGCAGAGTAACTAATTTGACCTAAGTCCTTTAAGCATTCAGGGGGGTTGTATTGCTTTGTGATAGTGTTATTATGTTATTCTCTGACTAAAAAAATGCAACAAAGTCCTAACTTTAAAAAAAAGTAGTAGTTTGAGTTTAAAATAAAACCATAAAATACATTTTAATCAACACACAAAAACTAAGCAAACCAAGTAATGTCAAGAGTTTTGCTGCTTTTTCTGTGATAAAAGAGATTTATGTTGTTACTTTTATGAAGTATGGTAGCTCATTGTTGGGGCATGCGGAAGTGTCACTGGATAACAGATGAATGTAGCACGGTTTTAAACTTTTGTTACTTGTTCTATAGGACCTTTAAAGTTGTGTTTCAATTTTTCCCCTTGTATTGTGTAACGACATACATGAAACAAAGGATACGGATGTCTCATCATTCTTAACTTAAACTTCCTGTAAACCAATGCTAAGTCAGACTGACTAATGTGAGATTGATGTAAGAAGAAACAAATATTCCATGCTAAATGACTGGAAAGACTTTTCTATTTTGGCTCACACACAAATGTAACTGTCACCTACTTTTGCATATTTATTTGTGGAGCTAAAGCAATTTTGAGTATGCTGATTTGCCTGGCCCCTTTGAACTGTTGTGCAGGTGATGTGGTGGTTCCACACCTCTAGCCATGCCTCTGTGTCACCTTAACACCTAGGTGTCCACAGTGGGCTGATGAAGTTAACGTATCCCTGGTTACAACGGTAGGCCAGTGCCGTGAAGTCTGGTTCTGCTCATTGCTGCAGTGTTGCCAGGTTGTGTATATATTGAGCCTCTGAAAGGGTGAAGAAAGGGGAGTTAGCAAAAAATGGAACTCTGAAAAACAGAAAATAAAAGATACAACACTGCAGGTTACTTTTGTCCTAAAAAACCTAGTGTTTATATTGAGATGGTGGAGAGAGTGGTGGCTTCTTGTCCTGTCCAAATCAGCCAAACACACAGACATCACCCCAGCTTCCAGCTCCTATTTTCCCATGTGGTGGGATGCTGCATCCATGCAACTTCCGTGTTAATTCAGTGTGAATCTGCCCAGGCAGATCAGGACCAGGGTGTGAGGCAGGAGCCAAACCTGTTCATTACAATGCACAGAGTACTGCCCACTAGTGTATGCATTTCACCCACCTCTGAGCAGGTCTGGTGGGTGTCACTGTTACAGATGATAGGTTAGAATTGCACAGTGGAACAGAAGCCAGAAATAAAAAGCTGAACAGTTAGGTGGTGTTTGTATCTCAGTGTGTACGAATACTTTTGCATTTCTTAAACTTTACTTTTTTTTGCAAAGGCATCTGTTATGCCAGTCTGCTGTAGGGATACCACAAGAATCGAGCTTTTACTAGAATTACTGAGCAGCTTTCCTCTGAAGCTTGCCAGTCCTCAGCTCTCATTGACATTCAGAGGTGCTTGACACTGAGCATTGGAGGTCCTCATACTTCATTGCTTCCATTGAAGCTTCCTGTCCTCCTGGGCTCCTCCACCTTCACCTCCTGGCTCACACACTGGTGTGATTTTTGAGAATTAATCGTGTTACACTTTTAAGTCAGAAAAATAAATGCTACTCTTGTTAATAGTGCAGAATGCAGTTCTATAGTAAGAAGGAAGAGGATCATCATTTAGCTGGGTATGGCCAGGTACCAACACAGCACTGAAAATCAAAAGGAAAGTTTTGCACAGATTCAGCTGTAGCTCTTTACAGCATCTGCACTGCAGTCTGTACTGTTTCTTGGTGCTGAAATTTAGGGGAAGTTTGCAATAATTAAATCTTGTGTTGATTTCTTAGCTGTGTGTTTACAGAGAGAAAATATTGTCAAGGCAAAAGGCAAACCTGGTCCTGCTCTTTTTAGGTGTGGCCTCATCCCCTGCACTGTCATCAAACTAAGTGATAAAGGGACTGGACCCTTTTGATAGCACTTCCCTCTTTCTGTGCTTTCCCTCATTGAAAACTTCAGGAAATCTATGGACCAAAATACTGAAAAAACAGGTGTTTGGAAAAAGCAGCACATATTTAAGTTGCACATCTTTAACAGAGAGTTGCAGGCTCTGTGATTGGGCAGAGTGCACGGAGCAGTTAGATTGTTTTGGTTTAATTTTGTTAATTAGTGATTGAAAATAATGAAATCAGTCTTTCTGGAAATGTTGAAGTGATTTGTGGCTTGATTCCCTCTTTAAATAAATATGTATGGGTTTGTGTGTGTACATACATAATGTACATGCCTATTCATACAGGTGTACACTGCACTAGTAGCAGTTAGCACGTCGGTCTCTCTCTGTTGTAGGGCTGCAGGCACACAGTCTGCACGTAGGCAGAGGGTCCCAGCACTGTCTGCAACCTCGGACAAGCAAAGCACTGCCCCTCGGTCTCACCAGCATGCTCACCCCTGTCTGCACTGGTGGATTTGCTCACTTTTCTTATGTATTTTGCAAATCAGAAGATTTTAAAGCTTTGTTAGAACTGTATACAGAACGGTCTTCTGCAGGTCCTTCTGCATGTTGTCTTCTGGTTGTTTTCTGGGTGTGGGAGGTTGGCAGGATTGATTTATTGGAGTGCTGATAATCTAGGAAGGAAACCCTTCTATATATTTTTAACCCTAACTTTGATTTTTTGTGAGCGCTTTCAGTAGCTTGCTTTTGAGCAGGATTATGAGTGACATCCAAGTTTACCTACTTACCATAGTGGCATGTGGGTCATCTGCAGATTGCACAGTTTGTTAACCTCCCATATGGATTTTACTCTACGTTTTCCACCAGTAAAACTGATTTTTCAAGGCTGTGACACCTTAGTCATGACATTGAGCTCTCCAATCCCTCATTATAAAATGAGCCTTCTGTTACTAATTGGCAGTACTAAATGGTACTTTTCTGTTGGCATTAAGTAATGGTTTAAAAAATGTGCGTCTTGCTGGAAGGTTTGGCAGTAGTGCCTATTCCTTTGGGAAGTTTGGGCCATGTTAAGAACAAGCCGTAGGGTTTGTGAAACCTGCCCTGCTGAGTTAGGCAAGTTTCCTCTTCCAGAGCAAGGAGAGGTGAGGAGGGCTTTCAGCTCATGAGATCGGGTCCAGCCTGCATAACCCAGGAGCCTGAGCCTCCTGCTGGGTTTTTGGTGGGAGCTTTGGCACTCACCAGTGGAAGTGGGTTTGGGCTCCAGTGCAGAAGCGTCTGAAGGAAAGGGGGATCCCGGGGCACCAGACGTAAAGCGTAGCCAGCCCATTTGGAAGTGGGGAGTGCACAGTGAACCTCTTCTGACTCTATACTTTCCCATACACATTTACTGTCTGAACAACTGCTTTCATATTTTCCAGTCACGTTGCAATGGTAACTCACTGGTCACTGACAAGTGTTAGATATATTGCTAGAAGACCAGGCAGCTAAAAGACTAAAATGCACTGTGCTCATTGTAAAAATCGGCTTCTTATATTGTTTCTTTTTATATGGTTGAAGAGGTGGTTGCGCTTCAGATTTTTTTCCTTTTCTTTTTTTAAAGAGGTCAAATGTATATGAAGTGCATGTTACCCTGAACTTTTTGTTTGTACATCTTGGTGTCTGATCATCTGCATGAAAGACACAGTGGTGCCATGTCTGAGCTTGTTCTCTTGTGCTTGGTTGATATAAACTTCTCTAGATTGCTGAGTTTTCCCCAAAATAACTTTGGTTAATATTTAGTTATTGGGAGACATCAAAACAAAACGTTATGGTGGACCTTTGCTTTCTTACAGTTTAAACACAAACAACAAAGCCTTGTGGTTTCAAGTTAATTTGTTAGTGTAAATAAATTTCTTGCCAATGAGTATTATTGTTGTTAGACAACGAATGCAATAAAATGAGAAATCCTGAATCTTTATTAGAATTTGTATCGAGTCCTCACTTTCCTGCCCATTTGTTGGTCATTCCAGAGGAAGTAATACATGGTGAACACGACGGGACAGCTGTTGCTGCGTGGGTCAGACTGGGGAGGTGGGACACGGGCTTTGCCCTGCTTGTTCTTTTCTTCTGCTCAGAGCTGAAGATTATTTTAACTCCAGCTCTTGGCCAAATTGGCATGAGTCACAGGCCTCTGATTGGATCTCGTTTACAATCTGTAATTATGTAAAAAGAAGTAAAAACCAAAATAGAGTAAGGAAAGAGAATGGCCTTTTTTCTTCGTATGCAGATGAAATGTAGTGTGCCATCTTTTGCTGCAGGTTGATGTAAAAATAGATTGCCTTCATGGTCAATGTTTGGATGTTTAAGACCTCGATTGGTTTGGGTATATAAAAACATTTTACCATTTTGCACTCAAGTGCAGGTTAGTTATAATGGACATTTTATATATCCAAAGTATAGCAGTTCTTCTGCCAAACATTTAATATATCTTTATTTGATTTTAGTAAAGCATCAAATTAGAGAAGAGCAAAGGGCACAGACCAATTTGTGTTGTCATTTCAGTGGATTTACATCTGGCAGTATGTAGGCCAAATACTCTGCACTTAATCTCTCTGACCCAGGCTGTGTTTCTTAGCAGCTGAATCGTTTTATTTTCCGCTAATTTGGCGACCACCTGCAAGAAGATAAAAGAATCCTCAATCCATAAAACTATTATCTGAATTAAAATAGGTATATTAAGAGGCTGTAAGTCCACAACTGACATGTAAAATGTGTCTGCTTAGCAGCTTCCTCAGCCTGGAGCCTTCTATACATATGTACATTGTTGTTTGTGTAAGTTGTCTCAGATATCTGCATTTTGGTTTCTGAATTGCCCAGAACTACTCCAGACTCTACAGCTTATAAAAGATAATGGGTTATGCCCTTCTCCGGGTTGCAAGCCTGGATTTGTGCAGGTTGCTTTGTAATTGGGACGCTCGGCTTGAGGTCCATCTTCCTCCACTGCTGTTTCTACACTGAGACTGCCAGAGAGTTCTGTCAAGGGGTGATTTCATGATGGGTAGAAGCTGTACCCCAGCATTGCTTTTGCTGCAGAATGTGTGCTTGCTATCTCTGTCCTACCCAGCACCACTTGAATGCACAGTGGCCCAGCTTCAATTCCCACCTCGGCACTGCAAGGCTGGGACATCCTTAGGGGAGCTTGACAACAGGCTTCCTACCCTGCTTGCCTCACGTTAAAATTCAAAATTTTACTGTTAGTAATAGCAGGTATTAAGTCCTACCTATGATCTCTCTCAAACACTTCCGGAAAAGGTAAGACCTATCATTTGCACGTGCTTCTGTCTGCAGGCAGATCGCTAGGAAAACCTTCAGTACAGGGATAGTTTAAAAAAGAGGAAAAAAAAAGCCAGTGACAAGTGAACACATTCTTTGTTTTCTGAAAACGAACAAAAAACTAGAAGTTTGACAAGATCCAACATGTAGATTTGCTCAGTTGAAGATGATCTAAGCTACTGGAAAACATGAAATTAATGTTTTGATGGCTTATTTCTATCACTGCTGAGGGAAATGCTGGCTGTTACACTTCTACAACCACAGAGTAAATCCACGACCCCGAGAGTGACTGGTTGGGATTTTGGCTGTGTTACTGCCACTGCTGCAAAACATTAATTCTTTAGAAAATGACAATTTACTTGAGAACAAATAGTGGCACAAGCCTTAAAGTTATTTTAAAATGCTAGTGCAGGACATTAATGGCTAATCACGAACAAGTTAATAGCCCAACATCTCCTTATTGTGAGAACTTACTTCAGAGCAGGTTTTTTTTTTTCTGCTTGGGCTCTGGAAACGTCTGTTCCTGAAGGCTGAAAATTGGTTGCAAGTTCCATTAGGATAGCATGCCACTTCCCAGGGAAGCTGAAAATGTCCTTCAGGGAGAGAAGTTGCTAAGGAAGGAGTGGCGAAGCCAGAGTTACAGTAAATTGCATTCTTGAGTGCTTGGTGCAATCAGCTGATGCCAAAGGCAAGTCCAGAAAAGGGATGAGACAAAAGCTGCCCTCATTCAGGACCAGCTCTGCGCTGTGGAAGGGCCGTCTGCATGCCGTGGTTAGCAAAAGACCTGAAACGCGTTCCAAACAGATCTGCCTCTGAAGCCCTCACAGGCACGCAGGAAACCCTGGGCAGTGCTCAAGTCCCCAGATGAACTGTGGGCATTTTGGAGAGGAGCTATGAACACGGTTCACAGATCTGCTGATGCAGGGCCATGCCCAAGACAAGGTCAAGTTAGCCTCATGGTTAACCCTAGAGCTCAAGTCTCCCCCTCTAAGCTATCACTAGACCCCTGCAGCATGTGCTGTTTGTATGCAAAACATCACAAATACCACCAACCACTACTGTTATGGGGGGGTGAATGACTCGTCTGGCATGGCAGCAGTGGGAAGCTGCCAGCATCAGGAAGGGCACGGCGACCAAGCCAACATGCTGCTGGCTCAGTTCTTAAACCTTGCACAACTCCTTGTGCCCAAAGACATGCCTTACACCAGTGTCTGTGCCACTTTGCTGGCGGCAGCACAGGTGCTCAGGGTGGAATACACGGTCTCTGGGGACAGGAGGCGATGTGGCAAGACTGACAGCCTGCTGCAGCTGAACAGAGGAAGGGGGATGGTACTGTCTCTCCCGTACAGCAACACAGCCTCTGCCGAGAGCCCTGGCACCAACTCCTTGCTCTGGTTAGAGCTGTCTCCCTTGGAGAAGGAGCAGTAACTCCTTTATACCACTGGATGAAGGGCATTAGGCTTGAGTTAGAAAGGAAAGGCGCGGGAGCCAAGAGGCATAAGCAGACATTTACTGTTCAGGCCCACAGCTCACCCGAACCTTAGCCCAAAGTAATGCCTCCTCTCAGCCAGGACAGCTAAGCCCAAAGGTAGATGAAGGTCTGCACATACTCTGGCTCCTGTCTCAGTGCTGAGACTGCTACAGAGTGAGTTATTTGCTCTAGGCAGAAGTGCTACCGTGTTTCCTAAGTACTGGACCTTCCATGTACTCCCCAGATTAGAGGGGGCCGTGGCTGATGATGAAGCAGATTGCAGGAGGTAACACCAAAACCAGAATAACAATTAGCACCCAGGGACTGGCTCTTTTTCCTCACAAGCTCGCATTTTGTGAGCAGCCTGCTTTTTTTCCCCAGACAGTGGAAGAACAACAGCAAGGAAACACTACTTCATCAGCCAAAGGATGCAGAGGGGATGATGGACCCCAGGATGGTCTGTCCGGTGACACCACTGGAGGGGCAGACAAGCTGCTGAGAAGTGCCAGTGCAAGCAGGTGCAGGCAGCACAGCAGCAACCCTGTCAGGTGAGCTGCCACCGATAACAGAGCCTTTAGCTGTATGTCAGCATCTCTCACGAAACTGGAGCGGTGATCAGAGGTGGGAACTCAGAGGACAAAAAGAGCAGCAGGAGCCTCTCTGTGGGTAAGGACACCTATACTAATGAAGGAAGAGCTCGCTCCACAGGCAGGAACCAAGCGGTGGCTCAAACAGGAGCTTCTGCCAGACTGGTGTCTCAGTGCACACACTGGAAAGCACAAAACTGATTTCCAGCTTCAAAGGACACTCAGTTCAGTTTATTGCAAGTGACTGCTGACAATAGAAACCTGGATAGGTCTTTTATCAGTGCACATTATCCCTAACTGCCGCTGGATAAATGTGAAGAGGGTGCCTGCTGCACAGCAATACAGTGAGAATCAGCTCTGTACAGACTAGAAGTCAAACACAGAATGTGCATAACCAACATTTGGGGGTAGTCACTGAGGCAAAGCACCCAGAAATGCCCCCTTTGCTGTGACAGACAACAGGAATTGCTAATGCACTTTTCACTGAAGGTGCTCGGGAGTTGTTTCCCCTTGTTTAGGAAAAAAAAGGCTTTTTTAAACTCCCTTTGGAAGACTCAGTAAGAAACCACTCCTAAGTGATGCCCTCCTCTTTCCTCAGTAAGATTAAGGCAAATTTATGAAACTGAAGTAATATTAGGCAATGGCTTAAAGGGAAAAGAGGGAAGAAATGAGACTGAAATAACATTTATTCTCCTTCCAGTGATTTTGGAAGCATTAAGAAAAGCCAACAGGAATGTTAGCAAGAAGACCCCTAAGCGCAGTCCCTGGGAAAGCGCAGGAGTCAGTGACAAGAAAGCACACCACACCAGATAATTCAATGTCTGACAGTTTAGTCATTTGTAATCTGAATTTGAACTTCAAGGTTACCCTTTGTTACTGACATGGGATCCTCCACATTACACAAATAAACTAATTTCTCACCTTCAATTCCATTTCCTTGGCTGTTGTGTAAAACTATCATTTTGGAGAGGAAGGCTAAAATACATTTCCATGACCCGAGTTAACCTTTATTGGAACGGTCTTGTTAGCAAATCTAGCAGAAACTAAGTGAGTTCCCATGGAACTAAATCCTTTCCACTGAAGCAGATCTAACCCACGACAAGCTATAGCTCACAGTAGAGAGCTCTGTGGAAGACTGTGCCAATGAGCAGTTTTCCCTCGTAGATGGATGCCACCGAGCTTCCCTGCAGCACAGAGCCATTGTCAGCGTAGAGGCGTGTCACTGCAGGCTCCTCTGAGAGGATGTTCTGGATGCGCAGGACCTGCCAAAGGAGGAGGATACATCTGCTGAAACAGCCACGGGTGAAAATGCTCCACAGATGGAGGGAACATCAGTATGTTAACTTAAACAAATCAGTTGGGTTGATCAGCTGCTAATAACAGCAACCATGTGATTCCTGTGATAAGGCCACAATTTCTGCTTCAGTGAAGCATGGTCCATGAAGACTGATTATTTTTTCTAAGTGGTTGTGCAACAGAGACTCCACCTCCAGTAAGTAAGAAAGTAATTCCCAGCACTAGGAATGTGCAGTTTTTTCCAGTCTAGGAGTTACTTAATATCTTATTTTCATGCTTTTTCCAGACAGAGTA